GGGCTACGAGGGTTACGCAGGGAGGAGTGCCAGGGTTACGCAGGGAGAGGAGTGCCAGGGCTATGCAGGGAGAGTGCGAGGGCTAGCAGGGAGTGCGAATAACATCGAATTTTAGAAAGACGAAAGAAGGAAAAACCAGAGGCCATTTGAAGGCCTGGACAAATGAGGTAACAGTGGGATGAGGGGAAGGCACCCTTCTGTGCCTTTCCATACCCGCAGGGCCCAGGCCCCCCTCGCTTAAGCCCTGCTTTGCTTCCGATGCTCACCACAGTCCAGACGCACTGGCTGCCCTCTCTCACGGATGTGCCATGCCCTTTCCCACTTAAGAGCCTTCGCCCTTCATGTTCCTGCTACCTGAGTTCCTGCCTTTAGCTGTGCACACCTGGTCCTCGTCACCCCACAATCTCAGTTCAGAGTCACCTCTGCAGAGACCACTCCAATTATTTTCTTTATAGCACTAACATGTATACTTTCTACCTGGAGAAGAGAGATAGTAACAAGTGCACAGACAGAATGTCTGTCTCATGCACGACTATACCCACAGTGCCAGCGCAGAAACTGACACATCCTGGGAGCTCATTAAATACACTGGTGAAAGGAAGAAGGGAAAGTTGGAAAAGACAAAAGGGCAGTTTGGTGTAGGGGGTAAGGAGGGAGATTTCTGTGTCCTACTCCACACAATCTTGGGGGATTCCGGCAGAGAGGGGAAGGAACTGTATCTAAACCCTTATAATTCAGCTCCTGAGTGATACTCATCCATATTTTAATTCTGAAATGGTCTCTTTAAAAGAGAATGATGAAGGAACTAATTTAGTTTACCACGGGAAAACTAGAGAAAATGGAAAATGCCTTATAAAGGAGACCTACATAATCAAAGTCACAACTCCAGAACCATCCCACATTTGAAAAAGACAAACAAAACCAGCGTTAGCTAAAGAGTCAAGGGATGTTGACTTTGGCCAGCCTATTTGTTTGGGATCAAACAATCAGGACTAACTTTTATTGCCAGGCAAGACTCTGAGGCACTCCACTTCTGCTGACTCATTTCATTCTCACAACATCCTATCAATGCCATTCTGCAAATGAGAAAACCGAGCCCCAGAGAGAGAGGTTGACCTGCCCAGTATGATACAGCTAGTGAGTGGCAGAGCCAGAATTCGGACCCAGGATATTTGGTCCCAGAAACACTGCTCAAAAGCACAAAAGTAAACCCCTCTTGGGCCAAAGCTGCCCTACAGGAGAGTTATCAAACACATTGCACATTTGTTATAAGCAAATCATTCTAGGGATTATGTAGGCAATGGTAATTCATAATCATTATCAACATCAGCTTTTTTGTCACTTGTATTAGGCGGGATAGGCTAACTACTGTAGCAGAAAATCCCCAAATCTCAGTGGCTTCGCCCAGCAAAAGTTTATTCTAACTCATTTCACTGTTCGCTGTGGGCAGCAGGGGTGCTGTGCTCCATGCAGTCATTCAGGAACACCTTCCATCTCTGCCGTCCCCAGGGCTCTGAGTCCCCCAGATGCTCTGCACCTGGCCAGCCAATGAGCAAACAGAGAGAGAACAGGGAGAACCCAGGAGAAGATTTTAGGAGCCACGTTCCCTTGGCCAGAACTCAGTCGCATGGCCCCGCAGAGATGTAAGGGACTGAGAAGTGTGGTCTCATTTGTGCTCAGAAAGAGAGGGTGGTGGGCATCTTGCAAAGCGTGGTATCAATGCTTAGTTTTAAGGAATTTTGTAGGAGAGACCTGGTAGGAAGGTAATCTGGCCTCAGAAGACATTGGTTCTGTCCCTGTCTCTACTAGTCACTAGCTGACTGATCTCCTACAAGATATAGCCTCTTCGGTCCCAGATTTCCCGTCAATAAAGTAAGGTAATCAACCAGATGGCCCATTTCAGGATTCTTCTAATCCCAGAATGTTTACATGATACAACATCGTTTTATTATCTTTAATAACCATGGTGCCTTAATCATTTTTCTACTGATGCTCTATTTGAGCTTTTGTTCAAAATTGCAACCATAATTATAACATCAATTCTGAGGGAAACTACTCTTTTCCTTTAATACTCAATATCTAGCTATGCATCATATATACTCTGGGGGGGGAAAGAGCTTCCGACTTTGTATTAGGACTAGTTATTTGAAGCAATTCATTAAATTGGGAAAAATGTAGATACCTATTTTAAAATGCCTAGAGCTGGATCTAAGTTATAATAAACGTAATGTTCTACAAGCAGATCATTTGCTGTGATCGGACCATTTTTATACAAAATAGTACTTACATCTGTTAGAGGGCACCTGAGCCAAGAAAATATATATCTGGAACAGCCAAGTTAATAACTACTGACTGAGGTTCCACTCCGTGCCCTCATAGCCAGAGAGCCTTGGTTTCTGAAGTGTGTGATATTATCGTAACCACAGGGATTTTGCAAGGCAGTATGGTTTGAGAGCTGGGGCAAGGTTTGGACAGGCAGGGTGGAGAGGGCGGGGGCTGAATAAGATGTTTTAAACCCTCAGGAGAGATGGTGGGGAGCCAGGTAGAGACTGATGGTTTTGTTTTGGAAAAAAAAAATATATACATATACATTCCAGATTCAGAGACCTCATAGGAGACTAGTGTTAGAAGAAGGAAAGTTGGGCACACCCAGGTACACTTCCTCTTGTGTCCCTCTGCCTGAGAGTTCTCCCACCCAAGTCACCTGGAAAACACCTGAGCCATACCCCCATCCCGCCCTTTCCAGCCATCATCACTCTCAGCCCAGCTGCCACTTACCCTGGCCAGCTGTGATCACCTCCTCCCTCTACACCCTCTCCCATCTGTCCTCTCACACCTCAGTGAGAGTGTTCTTTCTGAAACACACATTAATTATGTCCCCTCCTTGCTTAAAACCCTGTGGCTCTCACAGCACACTCTTGCCCTCCACATGGCTTACAAGGTCCTGTGGTATGGGCCTGCCATTCATGGGCCCCGCCATCCACCCTCACCCCCACCACTGCTCCTGTCAACTACACTGTCCTTTCGGGTCCTTTTCAGGGACAGCAATGGGTCTAATTTGTTCACCTAATAAAAAGCACAATACATGTATTATTTGCCTATATTTCCAGACTTCAGGGGGACACTTTACAGTGTATTAACAATTGAACTCATTTCTTTAAATTGAGAGAGCTTCACCTGAAAAGGTACTGGCAGGTTGAAGAAAAGCCTATCAAGCATATTACTTGGAAATGCTTTTAAATCAGTTTGTGTTTCAAGACTTTTCAGACACCCTACACTGTGTGTTTGCTGTTTTTGTCATTCAGATCTTAGCTCAGTCATCCCTCGTCAGAGCCCTCCTGACCTCCCTGTTACCCCTTTCGTAGCGTCATGGGGTGTTGTTCATGGCACTCACCGTAATTTCACTTTCACACCTGTCTGTATCATTCTTTAATGAATACTTGCCTCAGTTCCCACACTAGGCTTGGAGCATGGAAAGGACAGGAATCTGATTTGCTTGTCCTGGATACACAGTTCCCAGCAGAAGTAGGTGCTCAGTACTTAGTCACTGCACGATGCCTGCTCAGACACCCATCCTGATGGTCGTTTCCTTTCATCCCCTTCCCTCAATCCCCTCCAGGCAGGACTAATGGCTGCTTCTGCCGTGCTGCCCCCACATCCCCCTACATAGAACCTGACCACGGAACTCAGCACACTGTACTTCTATGTTTGTTTCTCCCCCTTGCCAGACTGGGCGGTTATCAGGATCTGAATGCACAGGGCCGGTGTTCAGCAAACATTTACTACGTTGAACGTGACCTCCAGGAAAGCAGTTCTGGCCCAGATCCCCTGACTACACAGAGGAAGAATTAACGTGGAAGGAGGCTTTCCAAGCAGGCCATTGTGCTGCTGTGTGTGGAGGTAAACTTCTTCCCCCGTCTCCTCACCCATGAGTCATTCCCTCATTTAGCACATGGCTCCTGTGCTTAGATGGAGGTCGGCTGCTCAACTTGCTTATGCAATGGTTCTCAAGCCTGACAATTGTCCAGAAACACTTGGGTTGCTTGCTACAAACATATATTCCTGGGCCCATCCCAGACCGACTGAATCAGAGTCTCCAGGAACGGGATGCAGGAATCTGTATTTTTAACTCCTTAAATGACTCTTCTTAGCCAACAGTTCATCCTGCTGGTACCTAGGATCCTCGAGCAGAGGAGCTAAAGCAAGCACAGTGATCAGTGCAACTCAAGGCAGAAAGCTCAGTGAAACCGTTTGAGCAAAGGCCCAAGGAGAGGTTTTTGCTCCCAACTGTCAGTTATAAAATGGCCCCCCACACAAATCCAGGAGTCGGCAGCAGCAGCAGAGGGGCCTCTTAAGGTTCTCATAGAGAACCGAACGCTCCACCTCCCCCCACAAGAAGGCTGACGCTTTGTGCCATTTGGAGATCACGCTGGAGTTGCTCTCAGGGATTCTAACTGGGTGCCAATGTGACTCTTATTATTAACCTTTCCAGAAAGTATTTACTGTCTCACAGACGCTATTCTAGAGCTTTACATGTATTATCTTACCTAACAAACAGGAACAATGAGAGGCTGACATAGAATAGAATGTCCTGCTCCCTTCTTGGAGAGCACCGGAAGGAACAGCAGTGCCAAAGCCAGCCCTGGACACAGCCTGCAGTAGCTTTTGGCTCTCAGAGATTGAAGCAGATCTCCCTGTGGAATGACCCACCCCTGAAATACTTCCAAGGGTCCCAAAGCCTGGGAGGAGGGCTGGGGCCTGCAGACGGCTAGCTGCCCTCCTCCACCTCACCTATGAACTCAGCAATCCTCCAGGCACCTTCAGATGTTCCCCAAGTGACCCCTCTCCATCCTGTTTCTGGATGCTAGAGTATAGAGTGACAGCCGCATACATACAGACCAACCATATCAGGGAGATTACTTCCGAAGACCTTTTCACTTGAATGCGGTGGGGGCCCATCGTTCTTTGGCAATAGGGATTGGCTTGGAGGTGAGGAAGGAGGAAGAAAAGCTCAGGGCTACAATTAGTCCATTGTTATTTCAAGATAACTCACTATTTTATGGATTGTATTTATATAAGTATTTTACAGTTTACAGAATGCATTAAATATATTGAGCCCTTTTAATCCCCACAACATCATTAGGAGGGAAGCTCATTAGCTTCATTTTGCAGCTGAGGTCTGGTAACTCACCAAGGTCATGCAGGTTGACCCAGGGCTCAAAACCAGGCCTTCTGGCTCTGGGATCACTGTTTCCCATTGACACCTCACACATGGGTGGATAGAAGCTTGCAGCAGAAAGAGTGAATGAATGATTCTTTCTCCCTAGCTAGATACTACAGAGGCGATAGAGGTAAATAATATTTGGTTTCAAAGAAATCGAAAGTAACTATTCCCCTCTTCTCTCTCCTCTCGCCCTCCCCCACAACCACAATGTAGCAGATGAGGTTGGTTGGCACCTATTGTTGGTTTTACAAAAATAGATGAATTGCTTTTCAAACAGCATCAGTGATACTCAAAAGCCAACAAAAGGCTAGGTCTCCCAGAGCGTACTTCCAGGAGCCAAAGTGTGTCTTCTTTTGCATTCCATGGAAGTTCTAACTTTTAATTCATGCCACTAAGGAGACATTTGATTGTTTTCTAGAAATGCTAATATTGCAAGACTCATAAATACTAATGAAACACTATAGATTGGCAGAGCTCAGCAAGTAACCTAGGGGGTGCCTATAAAAGAATTCTTAGATTAAAAAATATAAAGAATATCTTTTAATCGAATTTTCCCCAGACTGCATGTTAATGAATACTCTTTGGCCATATGGAGGGCAGCCTCAAATAAGTCCCTTGAGGAATCTAAAAGTGAATTATTGACTTAGCTTTAGCTTGAAAAGAAATCTATTTATTCAAAGGCCATTTTAGGTGCCAAGGGATGGATGAGTTTAAGACAAAGGTTGGAAGGAGTGGGAGGGCCCAATACATTGAGATAAACATACAATTCAAATGCATGCTTCTATCTCATACTACTAAGCAATCTAGGTTGGAATTTGCTTATTATACTTGGCTTTTATGACCTGATCTTTCAATAGTACTAACTCCGTGGAATGGACAAGGCTCAGAAACCATATCTTTCTCATTCACTCTTGAATCCTCAACACCCAACAGTGTGCGAAACATATTAGGTGCTCAGTGAATGTTTGATAAACGGATAAAGAGATTTAAAGAGCTTTCTTAACACATTTGCCAGAGTTCTTAAGATCTTGCCATCTTTTCCTGAAAGGCAGCTCTGATCACAACATTCTCCTGTTGTGATCAAAGTCCCCAAATAAGCGCAAACCCTATGAGGGCCTCTCTACCCTAGCTGCACCTCCCTTTTTAGCTTCCCTTCCCGTCCTCTCTTCTCCCACATTGAGCCCCAGACTCACCAGAAGACCTCCTCCTGTTCTCTTGCTCATGTTCTAGAAGTTTCTCTGCCTGGAATGTTTGAACATCCTTTTCACCCATATTTCTCTGTCAAAATACTACATGTCTTCAAGGTCCTTCCCAAGTGGCTCCACCTTCATGAAAACTGCCCTGATGTTCTCCATGAGCTCGCCCTCCATCCTCAGTGGCTGAACCCAGAGGGGCCCCTGATGCTTGTCTGCTCCCTGCAGGATCAACATGACCGCTGGCACAGAATAGTTGGTGAACAGTTGTGGTGGCAGTGTTGTCTAATGTGAATCAGGAAAGCTGTGAGTAGGATCAAATTAAAGAAAAGCACCCAAAGCCTTCCCAAAACAGAGCAGAAAGATTCCAGCAGACAGGGCCAAAAAGCCACCCAAGGCCAAGGTAAAAGTAAAGGTCATGGCAAAGGGAGAAGGAAAACCCAGAAGAGAGATGAGTGGCTTGAGGTGGTCACTGGGGCTTAGAAGCATGCCAGAGGCTGCTTTTCTCTGCAGAGAGCCTGGCAGCTTGATGGTGTGTGGGAAGATCCATGGCATGGGCTGTTCAGAAGGGCTTGGGCCGAGCTTTGGACGAGAGGACATAACTCTCCTCCTCTCATTAAAGTATCCAATGACTCAGGATACTTTTCTTTGTTGCATGTTGAGTTTAAGTTCGGGCAGCCATATGCTTTCTATAAACCTGGACTTGGGCAGGACATGGTTTTTATTTTATGTATCTTCATGCATTTGGGAAATATCTAACAATGAGAAATAAATCTCTTTGCAGTCTTTCCTACAATAGACTGGGATAAGCATTTAAGTCAATCTGGGGAATAGCCAAATATTGTAAGAGTCTGTAAATCCTGGGCTGCTTGCCAAAAATGGGTTAATTCCACACAAAGGAATAAGAGGCTACAGAGCAACACCTGTGAACAGCTCACTCCTTGGGGATCTGGAGCCAAACTCCCCAGACTGAGTGAGGCCAGCTCTGCCACTCACTCACCATGTGGCCTGTGCCTCCACGTCTTCAGCTGCAGGATGGGGGAATCACAGTACCTACTTCCTAAGGGTGTCTCGAAGATTAATGAGTGAATAGAGTGCCGAGAACAGTGCCTGGTGCACAATTAGGGCTTACTAAAAGTTGGCTAAAATTATTATTGTCATCCTATGGCATTTTTCCAGACTCTATGGACCAAATGGCTCAGTAGTAGGTGCCAATTTGTGCACTTGCAAAAACTGTGTAAATAACGCCATGAGAGGGTGGGATACATGCCAGCAGACAAGGACTCGGGTCAGCTGGGGCTTAGATGGGCACATGGGCCCTGGGATCATGAGACATTGATAGAGCATGCTATCCAAGGAATTAGACGTCTGAGGACAATTGCTGGGGCATCATGTAGAAAACATCACCCAGGAGGGCTGCACGTGCATGCACTGAAGCCTGAGCTGACCTTGAATTCCAGGCTTAGGTCCCCCAGTGTTCCCATCCTAGACATAGCACCATCCTGTTGCTCACTCAAAAGATTAAATGCACATGAAAATGATTAGAAAAGTATCAAGTGAAATGCAAGTACAAAGTGACATCATCATCATTCTTAGTTCCTCTGCTTGCCTGGCAGCCTAGAGGGAGTGCTGAGCCCACTGGCCAGAGGTCTGGGTGGCCCTGTGTGGCCTGGATGGCTCTGTGCAGCCTCAGACATGTTACCTCACTGATCTGGACCTCAGATTCTTCATCCTTCAGTGAGAGAGTTGGTTGGGATGATCTCTAGAGTGTCTGTCCTGAAAATCAACAACTCCTTGATATTTGGGTCCTGGGCAATGTCTTGCACCAACAGGCGTCTTAAATTTCCTTGAATCATGCCTGTCCTTGAAGTCTTGTTTGTACACAAGAACTTATAATTCCAGAACTGAAGGCAGCCTCTAAGACCTTATACTTGAGAGCTGCGCTTTAAGTTATATGTAGAGGGGTGACCAGGGAAGGGGGTCCGCTCTGTATAAGCAACCAGGAAAATGGCCCCAGCTATATGCTGAGTTCAGGACAGGAGCAGGGAGGCATCCAGGAAGCTCACCCTGGTTTCTAAGCACCATCACTAAGCAGCCTGCAAGGACTCCTCTCTCACGGAGAAGAAAGAGAGCAGGAGACTTTGGAGTATGTAGTCAAGAGATAGAAAACAGGGACGAGGCTAATGAGGGAGAGGAAGGTAGAAAGTGGAAAGCCAGCAAATGGTCACCCCTGGTTCTCCCAGCCTTGGGAGGAGAGGACTTGTCAGGCACAGGAATGGGATGTAAGGAGGGGTGGAGACACGGAGCAGGGAAGAGAGCATGAGGGGACAGCAAGGAAAGCAGGGTGGGATAGGATGAAGACTGATGATCTCTTAGCCCAGACAGCAAGACGTAGACATCTCATCTTGTGATTAAGCTTCAATAAGCATTGAAAACGGCAAGTGATGTTAATAAAAGGTCACATACAGAACTGTCCTGTGGGGAGTGTGTTCAATACCTGTCAAGTGAGCTGCAGTGGAAAAAGATTCAGAACTGCCGTTGCAGAGGAGTCCAGGGAAGCAACCCCTCATCAGAACACCAAACACACACATTGATTCATTTATCCAACAACTGCTGAGAACTTTCTATGTGCCAGACCTGATATACTATTCATTTTTATATCCTAAGCCCAATATAATGTGTGTACATAGCAAGAATTAGTTGATGCCTATTGATTGCATGCATGTATTTATCTTGTTTATTGAGTCTCGATACAAGTTTACTGAACTCTGGAAATGTTCAATTCCTTCCCCTTTCCTAAGCCCAAAATCTATGATACTATTAAAATTGTAGACCAGTCTCTCTGCATTTCTCTTCAGTTGTCTGTTTTAATCTCTTCAGGTGCTGTCGGTGGCATGCCCAAACCCAAAGCTGGAAGAGGAATAAATTACAAGTGGTCAAGGTTGCATCCTTTGGAACCCAGGACCTGCTAGTGAGCCAAGAGGGCTCTCTGCGCGAATCTAGCCAAGCACCATGGAGAGAATCAGCGCCTTCTTCAGCTCTATGTGGGACACCATCTTGGCCAAACACCAAGAAGGTATCTACAACACCATCTGCCTGGGAGTCCTCCTGGGCCTGCCACTCTTGGTGATCATCACACTCCTTTTCATCTGTTGCCATTGGTGCTGTAGCCGAACAGGCAAGAGGGGCCAGCAGCCGGAGCAGAAGAAGAAGAAGAAGAAGAAGAAGAAGAAGAAGGATGAAGAAGACCTCTGGATCTCTGCTCAACCCAAGCTTCTCCAGATGGAGAAGAGACCATCACTGCCTGTTTAGTTAGGCAGGAAGCAAAGGTGTCTCCTCTCTGGGGCTAAGACTCCTTCTGACCACACACAGATATTTCAGGAACCCATGAAATGATGCACTTAGGTCCACTTAGGTAACTACTCAACCAAGGAACAAACCTCAGACTAAGTGTCCAGTGGAGGGCAATCCCAGGGGGCAGGTGGACAATTCTTGGGTACTGCTTGGCAGCTATGTGTCCAATAGCAGTGCTCCTTACTGCAGACCCAGGGATGACTCCTACCTGTCTCTGACATACCCCATATGCAAAAGCACAAAGAACATTTATCCATACATCTCGATACAGTTCCTAAGTGTGTGCACATGTACATAACGCACACAGAAATTCAGGCAACAGGTACATGGGCAAGTATATTCTGCTCACTAAATGGTTATTGGCTATGTACTTTGTGCAGGGAAGTACATTATCTACAGTCACAAAAATGTCTCACGGGAAAGCCTAGCCAGATTCAGACACATATATACAATTACATAACCAGCAAGGCTCCCCATACACCGTCTATTCCATAAACCACTCAGGTTAGAGATGCATGCTTTCCTATTTCTATCTCTACACATAAACTTTTACTAGAAGTACCCATAATTGGACATTCCAGCAACCTGCTACAGTCCCCACCCCTGTGCGTCTTGATACAAACACACCAAATTGCTGTGTCTCTGACCCCTCAACTGTGCCAAGATGTTTAAAGAGTGATGGATCAAAATTCATTGAAAGCACTTTTTCTTGTAATTCCTGACAAGGTCCGTCCTCATTGCCACTGAGAGGTGTTTAAGGTGGTCCAAGACCTCTCTTTGAAACATGACCCTCCCCAAACCACTCAGCAAAGTGCCTTTCTCCAAGCAAGAACAAAGAGCTCTTGGTAGTGACTCCTAGAAAGCTATGGAAGCCCACTCAGTTATGTCAGTGGACTGCAATTGTGTACCTGTGCAACGAATGTTTTACAGATGGAAAGGGTAAGGAGGTGCTACACCTGAGCTAGGTACCTCCTGTGTAACCAGAGTTTCCAGCAGGGAAAGGACTAGACAATCATCAGTACAGTCTCACAGAAGGCCACACTGGAAGTGATGTCATAAGGTGGTAATGGGTGTATGGTATGGCACAGGTGGAATGCAGAGGTAACAAAGTTTCAATGAAAGTAGGATGAAACCATAAAGAGGTTTATTTATATTTATCTTGAAGCTCAGGCAAGTGCCTTGCACACAGTAGGTTCTTAGAACTGTCTGTGGTTACTGTTGGACATGTGATGTTGCTAAGGGTAAGCTTGTAATACCTCACACCAGCTCTCCCCAAGTGACCTTCTCTTCTAAGTGAGCCCACTAATTGCTGCAATGGATGAAATCGAGTGTTTAAGGCTGCAAGAGAGTGCATGTAGGCGACACGTGTGCCCTGAGGTATGTGAGGACGTGTCAATTAGATCCACAGTGAGCTGAGGAGGGCTTTCCCTGCCAGACCGAGGTTGGGAAGCAGAGTTAATCCACTTACAGGATGAACTGGTTGGTATTTTGACTGTATTGTGACTATGGCAAAGATGGACAGTTCACACCTTGGGAGCAAGTTGTGTTCTAAAAGTTTATTTGCAAATATACTAGGAAGCTCTCTTGAAATATTTTCCCATTTACTCTACACAGTGGCAAAATCGCTAATTAATAATATAGGTAAACTATGACATTTATAGTAGCAAAAAACTAAATTCTATAAAATTACATTAAATGAAATTTGCTGCTGAGTAAATGAAAGCAAATACTGTTGGCTCACTTGGGCCGTCTGGTACTCACCTGCCCTCCAGGTGTACTTTAGGCCTGTGGAGGGTGGCATCTAGTGGTGACCCTTGCACCAGGGTTTTCTAACAGATGACCCTGTGAATCATAATTCAGACCTGCATATATTTTAGAGCCAGTCACATTTGCCCTCTCACTCTATATGGCCATAAACTGCCTAAGCACTCAGGCCTCCTACTCATCAACCCCTTTGACCAGAGAAAGAAGCAGTCTGGTTCTCTATCCCCTTGTCACAGAGAGAGTTTGTCATGGAGCCTCTGCCTGTGCCCTTCACATAGCAGAATCACTGTCATCTACCTGCACCAAACCCAGATATGTGGGAGATGTCTCCCCACACCTCCCACTGCCCACCAGGACAAGCTGCCCTTCCTGTCTCCACCTCTCAGTCCCCCTAATATGGGTGGCCAGGGAGATGTGGAGGCTGACAGCTGAGACGTGGTGTCAGATGTGATCTAGGAGGAAGGATCACCAGGATCCGGGACCACACAAGTAACATGGTTTCCATGGCAACTGCTTGCTCCTTTGAATTAAGACAGCAGTCAGTTGTCATTGCCATGACAAGGCCTCTATCTCCAGGCACAGTGTCCCTGATGTCTCCTAATCCAACGGACTGGCTCTCACTGCAGGCATAAAACACCCAGAAACTCACTCTCAGTCACTTCCACAGCCGATGACTCAGAAGAAGCAAACCCAGAATGGGGCTTCTCTTTTCCCCACCACAGCCGCCCTGACAACCTTTCCTGGCATACCTAGAGGAGTGCCAACGCAGGATAGGCCCGAAAATTTTTGTTAAATAAACAGGTGCATGAAAGGAGCGAACAAACAAGGCGATTGTTGGTGTCCACTCTCTTCTTTCCACTTCCTTCCCATCTTTCCATGTTTTATGCTTCTCTGATTCCCTCTTCTGCCTGTACCAGGCAGCCCCAGCCCTTTATTCTTCTCCATTTTCACTCCTTCCAGCCTCTGTCCCTGAACTGCCACTGGCAACCCACGGGACCTCAGGACCAGAGACTGCTAGACTCATCTGGGGAGGTTAAGCTCATGGGGGACAAAAAAGGGATTCCTAAAGAAGAGGCTTCCTAGACCAGCACAGGCTCAAGAAAGGGATCCCCTAGGCCTGGACTTCTGAGCACCTTCAGCCAGGTTCCAGCCAACAGCCAGAGAAGGCCTTTCCCCATCACTCAGTGGGTTCCATGTTTTTATTTCTTGGGAGAAGCAGGGAGGGAGAAAGGTAGAAAAAGGGAAGTCGCCTTTCCAAGAAGAATATAACTGGTCCAAGCTGTATAGTATTTGTCAGTATTTTTTTCTGTAAAGTTCAAGCACACACAAAAGAAAAACTTATTTAAATAAAATACTTTGGAAATGAAAATCTTGCTGGAGTCGGTTACTTTCTTAACATTAGGTATTACCCCTGCTCAGACATCACTCAGAAATGATGGATACAGGGACTCTTTCTGTGACACATATGTCCCAGCCCTCGTCAGTCACTGCCTTTGCCACAATAGAGTCATATGTCTGAGGACCAAGAATGTGGCTGTCTCACCCCTGTTTGCAAAACAGATGGCCTCAGAGACCAGACTCCCTCAGAGGTGCCAGCTACAGGAAAAATACGGTGATGTTCCTTGGCAACACTTAGAGAACTTTCCGTCAATGAGGTCCATCAATGTCTTCTTAAAGGAAAAGGGGGGAAATAGCAAAAACCTAAGGAAAAATGGACCTTTGTGTTAAATTCAGTGTTGGGAAGGGAGGGATCAAAAACCTCTAGAGTAGCCACTAGAGCTAAAAATGTATGTATATGTGTGCGTGCATACACTGTTCAATATGGTACCATTAGCCACACGTGACTATTTAAATTCATTGAAATGAAATAAAATTAAAGGTGCACTAGCTCAGCTATGTCTGCCACATTTCTTTTTTCTTTTTCTTTTTTTTTTTTTTTGAGACCGAGTCTTGCTCTGTCACCCAGGCTGGAGTACAGTGGTATGATCTTAGCTCACTGCAACCTCCACTTCCTAAGTTCAAGCAGTTATCATGCCTCAGCCACCTGAGTAGCTGGGATGAGAGGCATGTGCCACCACCCCCAGCTAATTATTTTTGTATTTTAGTAGAGACGGAGTTTCACCATACTGGCCAGGCTGGTCTTGAACTCCTGGCCTCAAGTGATCTGCCTGCCTCAGCCTCCCAAAGTGCTGGGATTATAGGCATGGGCAACTGCGCCTGGCCCTGCCAGCCACATTTCAAGTGCTCAGTAGACACACGTGGCTAGCAGCTATCATCCTGGGCAGCATAGGTCCGTGAGCTTATTGGGGACAGGGTCAAACACGTGGGCAAAACACCCATGCTGACTGGATTTCAAGGAGGGCTTAGGAAGAAAGGCCTAGAGCACAGGTGGACTCTCTGCCTTATCTCCTCCAAGGCAGGCTATGTCTGTAGTTCCAGATGAGTTCATTCCTGGGCTCCCTTCCCCATCACCATACACTCATAACAACCAGAGAAAAGAGACTCTTCATTCAGCTCCCTGTTCAACCATCCAGGACATTGCTAAACTTTCCAGTGCAGAGGAGGAACTGCTGCTCAGAAGCCATCTGGGAGGGGAGCAGCTGCTGCACACCTGAGGGGATGCCAGTGCTCAGTGCCCTCAGCTGCACCCACCCCGGCTCCATCCCGGCCTTGGGGTGTAATATGAATTTGGACAATGCCATCTCGCCGTTAGCATTCTCAACTCACCACAGCACTCTGCACTGGCCCCTTGCCCTTTGACCTTAGTACTATTCCCCAATTCAAAGTCACAGGATTACAAGACTGAAAAATAAATCCCTTCAACTGGCTTTCTGTCTGCCATAGACTCAAAGGGATGTTTTCAAACACCTGTGTGGACAATGCCATGCTATATTTATTCAGGAATGACTGTGATTGTGTACCTCCAGCCCTCTCTTGAGGCTGTTTATTCCATTAACATTTCTGACTGTTGACTATATGTCACAGACTTTAGGTGCCAGTGATACTAAGTTGTTCTGGAGGGGTTCAGAGCCTGATAGGGAGGACACAAACAAGCAAACAGACCGTTACAAGACAGTGTGGCCACTGCTGCTTAGAGGGACGCTCCCAGGCTGAATTCAGGACAGGACAGGGAGCTCACCCAGGAGCTGTCCAGAGACTTGCACAGGAAGAAACAGAAAGGAGGGCCCCGTGTGTAGTCTACAAAGTGTAAGTGCACCCCACAGTAGTGATGCGGGCGGACAGACTGATGGGGACCATTCAGAAATCATCAGGGCTCTTGGAGGCCATGATGCAGGGGGCTACGGCTCAGGACCAGGGTTGTCCCAACCCTGATGCTAACTCCAGTTCTCACTAGTTACATCATTTGGACCCATGGCTTAATCTGTCTGCAAGACTTACCTGCTAAATAAAGCAAATGAGAGTAGCTACCTCATAGGGAGCACTAAATGATCATGTGTATAAAGCATTTAGCACAGGACCTGGCTTATATTAAGTGCCCAATAAATGCTATTTATTATTAAGGGTTGAAAAGAAATCATGAGAGAGCTGTGTCCTAGGAGTCAAAGGAAAAGAAATTTCCAAGAAGAAAGCAACAGTCCATAGAGGCAAATGATCCAGGCAAGACGAATGAGATGGGGATTGAAAATACAGATAATTGCATTTTCTATTCCCCATGGTTCCCCATGATGTGTTCCCTAATTTCACCATGTACTGCACTATCTACAGGATTACCAATACTCCGTGAATTAAGGTCTCCAGATTCACAGTATATGACAGGCAAGGTTGCCTAATTATCTGTCCCGCCTCTGCCCACAACCAAGTCGCCCTAGCATGACAGTGCCACCTGGTGGCCAGATCAGGAGAGAGCGTGAGCCAACATCGTTTTCACCTTATAAGTGTTTCCTGTAGAACGCCCATCCAGCTAGTTCACCTGTTCTCAAATTTACAAAAGAGTCTCCAGGTTTTATGTGAAATTCACAAGTCCATCAGGGTTCAGAATGCTGTGCTCATTTGACATATAGGGGATTTCCACAAATCCTAAGCCTCAATTGTCACAAACATTTTGGTGAAGTGTTCCATATGCCGCCGCTCCCTACAGTAAAGCTTCCCTAACCACAAAAGTCCTCCCCGTTGCAGTAAGACCGGATCACACTGTAATTGTGTGTCCCTTCTATTCCCAACACCCCACCCCTATTTTGACCCCCATTAGAATTAGCCTTTATGAAATTAGAATTAGAACTGTCTTGTTCACTGCTATATCTTCAACACCTGGCATGGAGCCTGGCACATACTATATGCTAAATAAATGTGTCAATTGGGGGAAAAATAATCACTGACATGTTTTTCAGAAATGCTAATTACCTGTCTCCCCCTGCCCTTCTGGCTGATTATTAAGTCTAGGGTAATACCAGACAACCTGCTTTAATAAGCACTAGGTAAACGCAGGTGGTCTCTGAACCACACTGTGAGAAATACTATCTGGATATTCAGAGCAACAAAAGAATTGTGTACAGTCAAATAAGTTTCCGGACAGTGCACAGTATAACTTTCCCACTTCACCCCCTTGGGATCTGCAATTGCATTATCACATTAAAGTTTCTAACAAGTATGATAATAAATAAATTGGTTTAACTCCACTTAAAATCTTCTGAAATTTATTTAGCCATAAACCTCGTTTTATTTTAGCACATCTGGAGGAACGAAGATTCCAAGAGGGCACCGCTTGGGAAATGCTGCCATGGAGGGCTAGCGCGCACCCCACACGTCCCCTGCTCCCGACTCCCGCGGAGGGCTAGTGTGCCTTCCATGTGTCCTCTACTCCTGATTTCCACTATTGACAGCTCAGTCAATGTCATCTCCAAAGGAAACTTTCTGCAACGTACACAGATTCTCACTAACCTTTATGAACCTTTCTCTCTTACTCGTCCCTTCCTCTTTCTTCCATTTGCAACCCATAATAGTCCTGTTGGTGGCTATTCATAGCAAATGTGCTTTAGAGCTACTAGAGAGACATCTCTATCAAAAGGAAAAAGAGGAAAAGTTTTAAGTCAAAAAATGAAGACCGATCAAAGCCCACTATTTTACCATTCCAAAGTGCCTTCATACATAAAAACCACTTTCATTATTTCACTTGATTCTCACTTTATAAATGAAGAAAATGAGGCCCGGAGAAGGTAAGCCAGCTTACCCTAAACTGGAATGGAAACCCAAGGCTTCAGACTCCTACCCCAGTGTTTCGTCTGCCAACCGGGCATCGAGATCCAGGCCAAACTGATCTTGGCTCCTCAAAGACCGTTGAACTGGTAGCAGCACCTCCCTTGAGTTGGAAATTATTGAACACAATCAAGGGTCTGCCCATAAGCCTTTAAAGTGCCCAAATGTCTCCTTTGGATGTCCTGCAGCAAGCCTCATCCGCCTCCTTCTCCTTCTCTAATTAAACCTAAATTTGTTCACTCATCAAAATAAAAATCTTTTCCATTCCATCTGGTTTCCTTCTTTTATTTAGATGACTATACTGTAATACTATTGTTTTCTATTTTTCATTATACATACACTGCCACTCATCTATACTATAAACAGGATTTATGGGCTAGCCTGACAAACCTAACTTCTTTCTATAACATTAGAATTGGAACTCAAATCATTTTACCCACAGAAACAGCCAACTGACATTAAGAATTGGAGAAGTAAATTCATTTGCAAATCAGGAGCTGTCTGAAGTCCCTCCCAGGGGTGCCTCTCCTTCACCTTTCATCAGGCCGACACCCTCCGTCCGCCTTTCCTCCCCAGCAGCCCAGTACGCCAGGTCTGGGGATGCAGTCCAGTCTCACCAGGCAATCTCAAGGTTATTCCCAGTTATTTTTTTGCACATTAGTCCAGCAAGAACGCTGCCTAAGAAACCACCAAGTGCAGGCTCAATGCTAAGCAGGACCTCACCGACTGACTCTCCATATAGTATCACCCAAGAAAGAAGTGGGGACCTAGCCCGCAGAACTCCCCTTTATGGAAAAGCGGCGCTGAAATGAGAGGCTCCCGACAGGACAACACTGCCATCTCCTGGCCATGCTGAATATAGCAAGCCTTTTGCACTAAGCTGCGGTCCCAACCGTATTGATTAGTTCTGTATTGACATGAACTCCCTCCTGATCCCCTCCACCACCCTAGCAAAGTGCTTAAGGTAATGATTTGGAAAAAAAAAATTTTAAGATGGAGTCTCGCTCTTGTTGCCGAGGCTGGAGTGCAATGGTGCAATCTCAGCTCTTTGCAACCTCTGCCTCCTGGATTCAAGCGATTCTCCTGACTCAGCCTCCCGAGTAGCTGGGATTAGTGGAGGGCCTTTTCCATCAACTGGCTAAATTTCACTAAGAGTTTCTCTCTGTTATACTTGTTTTTCTTCTGCCACACCGTCCCTTCATCTGCATGTCCCCTGTCCACGGCTCTTCACACACCACACCTGGCCCCTACCCTTCCTTGATCACAACTTCTGGAGGCATTTTCTATCTTTCTCCCCAGCTCCTTCAGCATTTCCTGGCTTTAATCATCTTTAAATCTCTGAGAATTCAAAGTTTAAATGCAGAGCTTTTGATCTCATTTGACAAACATAAAATCTGGGACCCTATTCCCAGAGGAAGCCACGGTCAGGAACAAATAGCTCTAAGCTCTGAGAAAGGACCCATCTCTTGCTTGGCCCACCGTTCCTCCTCAAAGCCCACCGTTCCTTCTTCCTGGATACCTCGCTAACCTGGGCCCTCCTCCCCTTCTCCACCATTTCTGCCACAAGCCAAGGAAGTCATGACCTCTTGCCTGAACCACCACAGTAGCCCTCACTGGGCTGTGAGTCCCTATCCTGCCTCCAAAACCTCCCTCAACACCCTCAGCCCCATTCTCTATCCTATCACCAGACTGACATTTCCAAAATACAAGTCTGACCTTGTCACTCTTAGGTTTAAAACCTGTGTGTTCCCCACTATCCACGTGCTTTCATCGGAGCAGTGGCTCTCAACCGTGGTACACGTTGGAATCCTTGGGGGCACTTTAGGAAGCCCCTGAGACCCACTGGAGCAGAGCCCATGGAGGGGAGGGGGGCTTCTGTACCTGTTGAGGCCCCCTGCCGACCCTGACACTAAGAACCACAGTATTGGCCTGGCAAAGGAAGAATCCCCATCCATCTCACCAGCCTGGCTCCCCACCAAGCTCTCCTCCCCCGAGTAAGGAACCACTTTGTACCTCAAACATGCCACACTCTACACTTTCTCTTCCTTGCGGCCAAGTCTCCTACACCCGATGGGCCCCACGTCCCCCCAGGCTTCTGGTTTCACCCACACCCCAGAACTCATCCTTCCAGACCTAAAGCTGATATCGCACCCCCATGAAGCTCTCTCCCTCAGCACCCCGGCAGGATGAGCCGCCCCCATTCTGCCCGCAGTGTCCAGTCCACCTCCCTGCGGACTCACTGTCCCAGGTTTGTGTCCACGGCTGTCTCTGCCACCACTCCAAGAGCTGCTGGAAGGCCGCGTTTGTGTTCTGCTCATCACTGTCTTGCTCGTGTCCTGCATAAAAGGGAACACTTTGGAAACTTAACCACACGCTGCCAAGACTTCTGTCTTCGCATCTAGCCCAGGGCCTGGCTTGCAGCCTGTCCCCTCTATGAAAGATTTTGTTTAGTTTGTCCTGAAGGGTAGAAATCGTCCCTGAAAGCTTCAAAACCTTGATGGCTCATGACCTGGCTGTAAGAAAATTGTCTGACTCTAAAAAGCAGGTCTAACCAGAAACCCATTCCATGGGCCCGTATTCAGCTACCAGATCAGAAGTTGTGAGCACTTGGTCATGTTAATATGAGGTTAGGTATGGAAGTTTCCAGTTGGAATGCTTCCCTCAGTCAGACAAATATCCTTTGAAAATGAGTATCTTCTAACTTCCTTCCTGGTCCCCAGCAGAACCTCTGAAGGGTCAGCCGAGGTTTCCTTCACCCCCTCCTTTGTGCACCATGGGTCCTACAGGCAAAAGAATGTAAAAACTAGCTCCTATTTCCCAAAAGTCCCCCTCTTGGCCAGTGGTGGAGAAACGCTGGAGCCAATGAACGTGGAGGGGGGTATGTGTTTTGTAATTTGCCACCATCACAGATTCCTCCTGAGCAAAAAGACCATCGGCGTCCCCCACCTCCACCAATGCCAGAGCTACTCAGAGTGGACTGAACGACTCAGAGTGGACTCCACGCCAACAGCAGCCTTTGGCCCAGACCTACTTAACCAGAATGTCTGGGGAAGGGACCCTGTGATCTCTGTGTCAACAAGCGTGTTCAAAGTTGAGAAGCATTTCCTACCAACCACCATCCTTGGCTCGAAGTCAGTCTCTGGGATTTGATCCATTTTGCAAAGGAGACACTTTTCTGAAAAGCCTGGACCACTGTGATAAGGCCAAAGCTTCGGAATCCCAAAGGTGATGGGAAATCCCACATGCAAACAGGGTCATGGAAGAGCAGAAGGGAAGTCCAGCCAGGTGCAGCGGTGAGCACCTGTAGCGCCAGCTACTTCCTGAGTCGAGGCTGGAGGATCACTTGAGGCCAGGAGTTCAAGACCAGCCTGGGCAACATAGCTAGAGCCTCATATATACTTGAGTGTGATGGCACTCACCTGCAGTCCCAGCTACTTGGGAGGCTGAGGCGGGAGGATTGCTTGGGTCCAGGAGTTCAAGGTCACAGTGAGATATGATCCCACCATTGGACTCGCATTTTTTTATTCCCTTTGATCTTCCTCACAACACTAGAAATTAAAAGGGAGACATTTACACTGTTTTCCTCACACAGCCTGGGCGACGGTGAGACTCTATTTCTATTAAATAAAACAATAAAAACTACAAAAATGTTTCTGAAAGAAGAGAATTTGAGAAGAAGACTTGGAACTGGGATGTTGTGCAGATAGAACTTTAAAACAGATAAGGAGACTAAGCTGGGTAAGATCGCAAGACTCCATCTTTATAAAAAAGTTTTTAAAAATTAGCTGAGCACAGTAGCATGCGCTTGTAGTCCCAGCCACTCAGGAGGCTGAGGCGGAAGGATGGCTGGAGCCCAGGAGTTCAAGGCTGCAGTTAGCCTTGGACATGCCACTATATCCCAGCCTGCATGACAGAGGGAGACCCCACTTAAAAAAAAAAAAAAAAAAAAAAAGGCCAGAAAAGGAAATTAGCTCAGGCTCAGATCCTGGCAAAGCTGGATCAAGACTAGAATATAAATCTGGTCAATCTCTGTAAACATCTCCTCCTCAGAGAGGCTCACAGTCCAACATCATGCAACATCTTCATCTTCTAATTCTATGTTTTCCTCCATGGCACTTCCCACTTCTTGTAACTACACATTTATTTGTTGTTTAATGTCAACCTCCACCACGAGAATACTAGCACAAGGACAGGAATAGGATGTTATGTCCCCGATTAACACCAGTGCTTAGAACAGAACTTGGCATGTAATAGGGCTTACTCTCTACTTGTTGAATGAGTGAATGTAAACGAATGAATGAATGACAGCATACAGGCTCGGTCAGTACAAGGACAGTGTCTGTCTCACTCACCTCTGTTTCCCCGGTGCCCAGAACACTGCCTGAAACAAAGCAGACAAATGCTTAATAAACTCTTGTTGAATCAATAACATACAAGCAGATTTTTTTCATCATTAGCATCAACACTAAAACTGTATTTCATTGAGACCACTCCTTATCAGAGCCAGCAGTTACCAAGGCATTGCTCAAGGTGTGTGTCTGGGGAAGGAAGGCAACAGAGGGGGCTGCTGAAGACTTTAAAGGTCGACAGAAACCGTTTCAGGAGTATAGCTTGACATTCACCCAGAGGCTGAAACCTGGAGACACCTAGGCAATGGACCACACCCTGGCCCTGGAGGGGTGCTGCAGCTTTCAGGGCATTCACCCTCCTTTCCAGGCGCTCGCTTCTGCATTCGAAAAACTGTTATTTCCCATCATGCAAATAAGAGGCCACAGCCAACCAAATTCCATTACAACGTGCAAATTGTACCCACTTGCACTTAGGTTAAATTTAGAATTCAAGTGCACTTATGTGGAGGAAAATAACACAAAGCAATTTTTTTTTAATCAAGTGGTTTATTTTTTCTTCTTCTTCTTGAATAGGAATTTAAGTTATTTCATTGGTCACTGACTTTGCTACAGAAAACCCTCCAAAATGGCAGAAAATAAGCAAAAAGGATCTGACCTTGCCAAGTGTCCGATCAACAGTATGCCTCACAGTGCTGAGCACTCCCGGAAAACCCAGGACTCCAACATGCGGGGTGGGGAAAACAGGGAGTCGGAGGCCTGGTGGGCATGAAATGGGGTTGCAGAAGAGTCTTTGGGAGGAACCAATTATCAAGAGAGTCAAATTATTCAAAGTTGAAATGAGTGAGAATTTATTCACAACATATGCAGCTCTATGGACACAATTATGCAAATGATTGAAAAGAGGGCGCTTAAAAATAGCAGTAAGGCGGCAGCTTTGGTCTCTGGCATGCTGGATACTAGTTAGAACTTAGCTAAACGTGAGTCTGTCTTAGCCCCTTTGATTCCCTTTATTCTTCCCCATAACCCCAGGAATTAAAAGGGGGAAGTTCACACTGTTTTCCTCAAAACCCAGTGGGAAAGGAGGGTGGCAAAGGCCCGCAACCCCCGGGTCATCAGAACCCCTCCTCTGCTTCTTTCCAGAGAAAAGATTAGCATTAGCAGAGCTTTAAATAGATAGATGTAAATTTCCAGAGATTTCCAATTGGTGAAGTGCTGGGCGATTCCTTCTCTTGCCCTAATCCAGTATATTTGCAGCTGAAGATAAGCTGGGAAACCTCCCAGTTCCAGCACTGTCTTTCCCACTCATACTGCGCAACTGCTATTTTGATTTTCAAGGCCCTCATAAAGATGGGCAAAAATGCGGGTGAGAGGGAAAGAACCTCCATGGCTTGAAGCTTGGTGACATGATTTGTTCTGCGGGTTATCAGGTGATCCCAGAACCCAGAGGCTCTGAGCACTCCCAGCCCCAGTCACCACTGCCCACCCCACCCCGTGCTCCCACAGCTGGTGGGGTCTCCTGCGATGAACGCTCACACGGGCCATCAGAACGTTCGCACCCTTCCTCCCAGCGTCCGCTTCTTTCTGCCCAGGACAGGCTCGCTGCTGTAGCCACGAGGGCGGATTTTCAACTCCACGTAAGGAATGGAGAATTCATGTCCTTTCCACGGCTCCCAGTTCACCCCCTACATTAAAAAAAAAAAAAAAAAAAAAAAAAAAGCCACATCAGGAAAAGGCTCTTGGGAGGAGGGCAGGTTGGGCTATGGTACAAAGGAATTATTTGGTTTTGGTTTGTTTGTTTTTGAGACAGAGTTTTGCTCTGTCGCCAGGCGCCAGGCTGGAGTGCAGTCGTGTGATCTCGGCTCACTGCAAACTCCGCCTCCCAGATTCAAGCAATTCTCCTGCCTCAGCCTCCCAAGTAGCTGGGACTACAGGCGCGCGCCACCACACCCAGCTAATTTTTTTATTTTTAGTAGAGATGGGGTTTCACCATGTTGGCCAGGATGATCTCGATCTCTTGACCTCGTGATCCTCCCCCATCGGCCTCCCAAAGTGCTGGGATTACAGGCGTGAGCCACCGCGCCCGGGCCACAGAGGAATTATTTACCAATAGGTAAATAATTGAAACCACTTTCTCTCTGCTTAGGGGAGAGAAAGGGACAGGTGGTGATGAGGAGGGAGGGGAGGGCAGGATTGGACACACGCGCCCTCTGCTGGACAGCTGGGGTTAGACGGGCTGAGGACTTGGAAGACTCGGAAGCCGGTGGTCTCCACAGCGGGAGCATGGTGGTGTGGGCCCAGGAAGTGGGTGAGGCGAGAGCAGCCACCAAGACAACACAGGGGTCAACCGGGCAGGCAATGAGCAAATTATCTATGCTTCACTCTTTTCCTTTCCAAAAAAATTAAAGGCAAAAATAAACATATTAATTGGCCAATTGTGTAAAATCATTTTCAATTTAGACTAGATATTAGCTCTGGGGTAACAAATAGTCCGCTGAAAACTAAATTTCGTTTTATGTCTTTTGACTGGTGAGCGCAATAATATTTAATTCACTTAATAACCTTGCAACCTGGCCAATAAAAGCCCAAGTGACCAATTTTATGTATTTTAATTTGTGAGGTAAATAATAAACAAGAAGCTAAATGCCTTGCAGACTGTGAAAAGCGCATTAACCAGATGAATGTCTTTTATTAGCGAATGTGGGATGGTTCAGGGCATGCTGGCTGCTCATTTCCAATATCTGATCTCCTATCCCAGGCTTTCCTGAGTCGGCCCACACGCGGCCACCATGATTCATGCGCCCACCCTCCCCAGTTTCCCTGGAGGAAAATTTCTTCTTCCCTTTGAAAAATCACATAAGGATTGGGAGTCCCCGAAGCCTGGTCAGGGCCAAGGTAATCAAAATGTACCTGAACTTTGGATGTGCTAATATTTACAGTAATATTGGTACAAGGTGAGTTCTGAAGAGGAGGCTTCCTGGAGGCTTAGGATCAGGACTGCGGATCGGAAATTAGAAACCTAGGATGGGGACTCAGGGTTTGTGGAGGGGAGAGGATTAATGATGAGCAGAGGCAAAGATGCAATTTTCAAGAAACTGTGAGGGAGCAGGCAGGAAGTGCCCCGCAGCTGTCAAAGAGTCAGGATGATGCGGAGGGGCCTGGAGGCTTGAGAAAGAGCAGGTGGGACATTTTCAGAGCAACGTGGGGAGAGGAGCCCTCCTGGACCCCTGGCCCTGGGCGCACACTCCCGACGTGGTCTAGGGCAATGTTCTGGGCAGGCTTTGGGCGAATTAGATCCAAGAGTAGATCTGACCTAAGGCACAAAAGACCGTTTTCCTGATGATCAAAGGACTTGAGACAAATTGCTTTTTTTTTTTTTTTTTTTTTTAGACAGGGTCTTACTCTGCTACCCAGGCTGGAAGGCAGTGGCATGATCATGGTTCACTGCAGTTTCAACCTCCCAGGCTCAAGCCTCTTCTCGCCTCAGCCTTCCTAGAGGCTGGAGCTTTAAGTACACATCATGATCCCCAGCTACTTTTTGTATTAATTTTTGCATTAGCAGGGAATCATGGTGAGACAGGGTTTCACAATGTTACCCGGGTTGGTCTCAAATTCCTGGACACAAGCAATCAGCGCAACTAAGTCACCCAGAGTGCTGGGATTTCAGGCATGAGCCACCATGCTTGGCTTCAAGAAATAGCTCTCATTCAACGAGGAGAACAACTAGAAAAAAGTAGGAAGTGTTTGCTATAAACTGAATGTCTGTGTCTCTTCAAAACTCATGTGGCGAAGGCCTAACCACCCCCCACCAACATGATGGTATATAGAGGGGGCCTCTGGGAGGGTATTAGGTTTACATGAGGCCATGAGGTGGAGCCCCCATGATGGGACACATGCCCCTATATAAAGAAGAGACCAGAACTCCTTTCTGTCCACCATGTGAGGATGCCCAGCCACAGTCAGCCATCCACACGCCAGCAAGGGAGTCCCCAACAAGAACCAAATCTGCCGGCACCCTGATCTTGGACTTTCCAGCCCCCAGAACTGTGAGAAATAAAAGTCTCTTGTTTAGGCCACCTAGTCTCTGGTATTTTGTTACAGCGGCCCAAGCTGGCAGTGTCCATGTGTGAACTAGTGAAATAAGACAGTGTGTGGTGCACGTCATCTGTCATTACATGGCAGTGGGCAGCCAGGCTTTCCCTGTCCCTGCCCCCAGGCAAGTGTGCAGCACTGGGAATGCAGAACAAGCAGGGCCACGGGCATCAGGAAGGGGAGGCCACGACCTCAAGGTCGTGGAGCCTGGAGGAGAAGCTCTACTGCTTCGACTGGAAGCTTCAGAAGGAGTGGCTTCCAGACTAGCCTGGAGGGTGTCCCTTTGGAAGCTGAACGTGGGTACACCCCGGGACAGAAAAGACGTTCCCCTGTCACCTACCTCACTGTGCTTGGTCTCCCCATATCTGCCATTGGGGTTGGCCAAGTGGCAGTTCTTATACCACCAGCCGCCATGATGTGTCAGGGCACAGTTGCTAAGTGCGATATCATTGTCTCTGTCAAAAGTTGTAAACTTCCATCCATTGTGGTAACTAAGAGCATCCCCTGCAGGAGAGAAGAGATGGAGGCGAGAGCCCAGGGTTAGCTACCGAGAAGATGTTCAAAATAAGAGCCAGCAGGAAGATCTCTAGGCTTGAAAATACCAAGGATCCAGCCAGGTATACGTCACAGGTAGTCACGGCTCTCTCAAAACAGCCAAAAGGGGAACATGACGCAGGTGAACAGGTTCTCTTTCCTGGCCTGTACCCCGACTTCAGGTCTATTTCTCCAACAGTCCTCATAGTGTTTTCACTTATAAGCTCCAGTCAGATCAAATATCCAATCATAACTACTGTCCACAAGTCCCTCAGCACCCCACACACAAGAGCACCCCTCTCCATCCTCCCCACCTCTGCATTGGGGCCACCCTTCTCCCTGCCACCCAGACCTGGAAGCTGGAGCCATGTCCGACCATCCATTCATACCCCTTCTCAAGCCATCTCTCCCGCAGGTCACTCACTTACACCCCTATGTCTCCACTCCCAAGACACCCACCCTTGACCTTCTTTCATCCTGGGTCTACATTAACAAAACAGCCTTCTCCCTGGCTTCTTGCCTGCCAGCCCCTCTGGAGCTTAGATGTCCATTTTCATCATCTCAGGCCTAGCAGTCTACTTCGTGCCACATGACAGTGAATTCCTCTTCCTCGCCTTGCAGGCCTGTGCCCTGTGCACAATCTTGCGTCCCACTCTCTCCACGATGTACCCTCCACTCTGGACCAGCCCACCTTCCATGGGATTTCTCTCTGCCCTCATCTGTCCAAATCCTAACCATTCCTTCAAAGCCTAGCTCAAGCCCACTCCTAAGAAAGAGTCTCCTTATTGGTCTTTCCATGACCCTCCTAACACACACACACACACACACACACACACACACACACACCTACATACAAACACCCCTGAACTTCCAGAGCCCTTCTGGGGACACATGTAAAATTCAGTGCTTCATTACACCCCATCTGGAAAGCTGCTTTAATTATTTTACTTGTATACCTCCTGTTTCCCTACCATATTTGTCATCCTTTTATAAGCTTTCTTTTTCAGCTCATAAAAGGCAATGAGGGCCCATATCAATCGCAAGCTTAATCAAGCACCATTCCTACAATAAAGATTCTTACATTTATATCTCAGCTCTGAGTTTAGCGATCTTCACATGTGCATTCTCATTTCACTCACAGCAACCCTGTGAGGTGAACAGGGCAGCTCTTGGTCCCATGAAGAAACAAATTCAAAAAGGTTAGACTCTAGGAAGGTGTTAAGGTCCCACAGTCCACAAACAGCAGAGCTGGGATTCAAATCTCTGTCCTGAGATTCCAAGTCCAGGGTTCTTTCTGAGACACCAATCTGCCTGTGGCTTCCTTGTTTCAATAGGGGGCTTTTTGTACGCTAGCAAGAGAGAGCCATCTCTGACAATGGTTCTTCAAGTGGGGTTCCCAGACCAGCAGCATCCACATTCCCTGGGAACTTGCTAGAAATGCAAATTATTTGGCTCCAGCCCAGACCTACAGAACCAGAAGCTATAGGGTGGGCCCCGGCAATCTGTGCCTCGACAAGCCCTTCAGATGATCTGACACAGGCTGAAGTGTGAGAACCTCTGGTCTACAACTTCACTCATTTGTTTTTTAGGAAACATTTACTCAATGAACACCTGCTATGGAGCAGCACATGCTTGGCTCTGTGAACACAAAAATAAGGCGGTTCTTGCTCTCAAAAGCGTTGTTGGAGTGGATGGGGTGAATATGCAGAGTTGGTGACTTGTATTGAAAGGGAAGGTCTTCGTTTGCCCCTCCACATCTGCAATGTCACCAGCAGCTCATTTATGCCTCACCCAGCAACAGCAGGAGGATGCCGGGGCCACAGAGGCCACTTCCATGCAGAGGCAGCAGATGGGTCTATGTCCAGTATTTTTCTCCAGTCCAAGAAAGGTATATTGTCATGCTAGTCATACACATTGCCTCCTCCCTGCAGATTTCGTACAGAAAGTTAACCACAGCTTGAAATAATCTGCAGTGTCTCCCTTAGTAACATTCTTTAAATGAGCACAGGTTACCTAATTTATATAGAAGGTTCCCAGGGCTACTTTCTAAGAAACTGTGTAGAGGCTCTCTTAAAGACATGTTTGTGATTATCTAAACCTGGGCACTGGGATAAAGAAAGGTAAAGCAGATTTTCACCCCAAGGTGGGAGGTCTTTTTCTGCAGAGGGATTTTCTATCTTCTAGAAACTGAAGCCATCCTAATGTTCAGAGTGAGAGAGTGAGAGTGAGGAGCGGAGGGGTTCGTGGCAGGCCCATGAAAGGTGCGCACCCACGCGCAGAGAGGCTCAAGCTGGCCACCATCCATCACATCAAAACATCACTCTGGCCGGGCGCGGTGGCTCAAGCCTGTAATCCCAGCACTTTGGGAGGCCGAGGCGGGTGGATCACAAGGTCAAGAGATCGAGACCATCCTGGTCAACATGGTGAAACCCCGTCCCCACTAAAACTACAAAAAATTAGCTGGGCATGGTGGCACGTGCCTGTAATCTCAGCAACTCAGGAGGCTGAGGCAGGAGAATTGCCTGAACCCAGGAGGCGGAGGTTGCAGTGAGCCGAGATCGCGCCATTGCACTCCAGCCTGGGTAACAAGAGCGAAACTCCGTCTCAAAAAAAAAAAAAAAAACATCACTCTGAGACCTACTCTCCCCCTCTAGCACTCGCCAGGATGGGAAAGATGGCCCAGGCAGCTGCACCTTCTCAGATCAGGAGAAGCCATTAACAACACATCTCCTGTCAGTCACACACAGACACAGGACTGTGTATAAACCTTGAATGTCTTCTATTTCGGGATTAGGAGTGGATGAGTAAAAATGATTTGTACCATTTCTAGCTTTCCCTTTCAGCTACGTACCCATTAATTTTTTTCTCTTTTTCGAGTGCCAGCATTTAAAAGTCCATCTCTGGCCCCCACTAAAGGCTTCCAGAGCTCCTCAGTCACATTTCCATGTGCCCCCCAGGGTGAAACCCACCCCGGTTGTGCCCCACTGGGGCACAACCCCAGTGTTGAACTCAGCTGTACGTAATCGGTTAGCCCTAGAATTCACTCTGCACCATTCTGAATGTCTAGCTCTTTATGGTTTCATTATAATCATTATAATCTCTAAACAGATGAATAGCATCTTAAAGATGGAGCTCATAAGACAGCCTCCCTGCCCCCACTCGAAGACTCAGAATCAGAAACTAAATTTATACATCATTACCTTGCTGGAATTCACTTCTTGAAGGTAAAATGGGCTTTCTGATAGGACTTCAGTGAAAGTCAAAAGTTGAGGGCCCACCTGGACAGTCTGAATAGGGAGCAAGCCTGAAGCCACACATTCCTGCCAGGCTGCACACATGTCAGTTCTAATCGGAGCTAAAATGAAGATTGAGGCTGGGGAGAGCTGGTGCGTGCAGGGAGATATCAGAATGTTCACCTTCCATTTGAATGCCGCGTCCTCTAAACAGTACCTCAGCACTCAGGACATGAGTGGCCAGGCGGTTTCAGAATTCTGAAACCCTCCTCATAGACCAGTCAGCAGACATAAGGAATGCTAAAACACCACTGACCCCACCATTGCAATTCAGAATTTGAAAGTGGGAATGATAGCACACATGGGAAGACTAGCTCGCTGCCTAAATGCTATGTGAAAGTCTCCTATTAAAAAACATATTCTATTAAAAAAAATACTTCCTCTACTGGTTGGCAGGGTTGACCTGAACCTTAAAACAAGAATTATCCCCTCATCGCAGTTAACATGTAAATAGAGTTAACATGCAAATACCTGGAAGGAGAATTACAATGATTCCCAACTCCGCTGACTCCCTTTCAGTCACTTTCCCATTGGTATCAGTTCATTTGCTGGATCGTTTTAAGACAGGCTTCAGAAAAGGCAAGTTGTAATGGTCGAGAGAAGGAAATGTATGGGAGGACAGGCCTGAGTAAGGTCCATCAGCAGGAGGCCAGGGAGGGCACTGGGTTTCAGGGAGAGATGTGAGGCACAGGGGCCAAAGAAAACACCCAGCTTCATATTGTGTCCAGGGAGGGTCCCACACGTGGAGCTTGTGTAGACTGGCACCCTTTAACCTGGGAAGGAAAGCCTGAGGCTGACTGATGGCCACGATCAAGAGCAGACAACAGAGTATTGAAAACCAAAGAAATGAGCAGACGGGCTCCACGTGGACTGAGAGGCCCAAGGGCTCCAAGAGAGACTGGAATGCACACACTTGATGACGCCAAAGGGTTGGAAGAACCTGGAATACGCTGTCAGGAACGCAGTCTGATCTCATCTGGAGATGGGGTGGGAGGATGTGGGCCCCGTGCTTAGTCATAAAAAACAGCATCTTTAGACCCCCGCTCATTCAGTTTACATCCTCATAATCATGAATGCCCATCTGTGTTTCCCAGTTGTATTATAACTGTCTGTCTATTTTATGCAGTCATGTACTGCATAAGAACGTTTAGGTTAGCAACAGACTGCATATACCACAGCGGTCCCCTCAGATCGCAATAAACCTAGAAATTACCTAGCGACATCACGGCTGTCGTAAGGTCACGGGCCAATGCATTAGTCATGTGTTTGTGGTGATGTTGGTGTGAACAAACCTACTGCACTAAACCAGTCATACAAAAGTCTTGCACATTTGATTATGGACAGTAAATCATACTTGATAATAAACAATTCTGTTACTGGCTTATATGAAAATACTATACTTTTTATTGTTATTTTAGAGGGTATGACTACTTATCAAAAAATAAAAATAAAAAAATAAAAGACGTTCCTGTAAAACAGCCTCAGGCAGGTCCTCTGGAGGTGTTCCAGAAGAAGGCGCTGTTGTCACGGGAGGTGACAGCTCCATGTGTGTTACTGTCCCCGAAGGCCTTCCAGTGGGACAGGATGTGAGGTGGAAGGCGGTGGTATTGATGATCTTGACCCTGTGCAGGCCTGGGCTCATGCGTGTACTTCTGTCTTAGTTTTTAACACAAAAGTTTTAAAAGTAAAAAATAAAAAATTTAAAAAAAAAGTTTAAATCAAAAAAAAAACCTTACAGAATAAGGATATAAACAAAAAAATTTTTGTACAGCTGTACGATGTGCTTATGTTTTAAGCTAAGTGTTACTCCAAGAGTCAAAAATTGAAAAAGTTGTTAAAGTTTATAAAGTAAAACAGTTACAATAAGCTAAGGCTAATTTTTAATTCATGAAGAAAGAACATTTTAAAATAAATGTAGTGTGGCCTAAGTGTGTTGGTAAAGTCTGCAGCAGTGCACAGTAATGTCCTAGGCCTTCACATTCACTCCCCACCCACTCACGGACTCACCCAGAGCAACCTCCAGTCCTGCAAGCTCCCTTCATGGTAAGTGCCCTGTACAGATGTACTATTTTTTATCTTTTATACCATATTCTCACTGTGCCTTTTCTATGTTTACATATATTTAGATTCATAAGTACTTACCATGGTGTTACAATTACCTCCAGTATTCAGTAGCATGCTATACAGGTTTGTAGCCTAGAAACGATAGGCTACACCACCTACCTAGGTCTACAGCAGGCTCTGCCATCTAGGTTTGTGTCAGAGCATCCTGTGATGTTTGCACGATGATGAAATGCCTAACAGGGCATTTCTCAGAATGTGTCCCTGTCATTAAGCGATGCATGACTATGTTATACTTCCATACATCTAGCACAGGCTGCCTGCAGCCCACGGAGACCCAGGACAACCAAGGAAAGAAGGGGCAGCACCCAAAGGCAGTGCGGGGCTCATCTAGTTGCAATGCCCTTTTTTCAAGGATAGTCTTTTCCCTGAAATAATTCTTTGCATACTTTTTCCCACCCAGCCCCTACTTAGAATCCTGAAAAGGTTTTCCCGTGTCTGTAGCCCAAATGCCTCCTGCTCTGGTAGAGGCCTACCCCTCCCTCTTCGTCTCCTCCCAAGTCACCGTGTCACCAGACTCACCCCTTTATTGACCCCTATGGAACCTACTTGGATCTCAGGAACTACTATTTAAGATACTAAACATCCATAAGATTATGTACATAGAAAAGTTCTCCTGAAAATGTCGTTTTTTAAACTCTCCTACTCTGTACCAGGCTCTGAGATAGGCACTGGGAAACAAGAACAAATGCAAAATTCATGTGACTTCTTTTAAATGATATCATAAGATCGCAAAGAAAGTTTGCATGCATAGTTGGCCACTCCAAGATCACGGCCCCAGGCCCTCAGAAGTTCTGCTCACGGTCTCCTGCCATCAGGGGTCCCTGAATGGACAATCATGAGAAGTCCAATAAGGAAGTGAAGATAAACTCCAGTCTCCTTGCCTCTGCTCAGTCCCTGCTCAGCCCAAGCCCCCAGGCCTGGAGAGCCCTCTCTTTCCTCCCACTTCAGTTTCCCCCTCCTTCCGGCTCCCCCCAGTTGCTTGGTCCTCCGTGTGCCCACCTTCTCCACACTCCTGTAGCTCTTTATGTTTCTTAGCCCTTAGCTGACTCTCTGTGAAAGTTACCTTCTATTTGTATTCACCTATATACGTTTAAGTCTAAGGAGAGAGACCGCCATGTCTTATACAGTCAATCTGGCTGGTAACACATTCCTATGTTAAAAACACCAAAGCCAAAAACGTGCAACAGTCAAAACACAGACTTCCTTGTTAGGGTTTAAAAACCAAAAATACAGGTTTTAAAATAGTAGTATTAAAACAGTAACCATACCTCCCCCTCTTAAACAAAATATGTACTGGTATCATTCCAGCATTTCAATCATGTTACTTAATTTTACTCTTTTCCTTCCCAGCCGAACTTACCAGCAACTGCCTTAGCTCTAATGAGTGGCTGCCAGAGGCCAAAGGTGCCCTCGCGTTCCACTGAACTGCTCATTTCTGTGTTGTCACAGTTGTATTAAGTTAATGAGACCTATAATTCTTATTATTTGAATCAGCACTTTCATCGTTCTGTTTTTAGAGCAAAGTACCACCAAAAGCTCAAGTAATACACACACACACACACAAACACACACACACAAACACACACACACACATACACACACACACACACACACACAAACACACACACGCCGCTGTGCAGACAAAGATGACAGCCACACTGCCAAAGCCAAATGAAAGACTGACAGGCATCAATAAATTGCTTAGAATATGGGTTCATCTGCTAATGTACAACAGCCTGAACTCGGGGAGTACAAGAGGAGGGTTTTTACTGGGAGGCGGGTTGACACATAACGTACAATTTTATGGCAGTCAATGATTGCTTTAACTACTTGTTCACTCCTGACCCCCCGCAGAGAGTAAGGCCTCCACTCTCAGTAAGAGCAATTCACCTTCATAGAGCAATATTGCACCCCCTCAGATCAGTGGCACACGGCAAGCCAATCCTTACGAAACAGACAGCAAGAGACCTTCCAGTAAGAAAACATTTTTTCTCACCCGCTGTGCCTCTGTATTTCCCAACTGTCAGTTTATACCGCTCCTTGCTGGAGGCCACTTGGAAGAAATCATATATAGCATAGGCGGATTCGTTGGCAGTCTGTAAATCCACTCTCACCTCATACCGTGTCGGGGTGCCGGTGGTGAGGTTGTGTAGACTGTCAAGTCCTAAAAGTAAAAAATGGAATTCCAATAATCAATCATCTGGTGTGCGAGTGAGCACTTGACATGTGAATCTGAGGCTTTCAAGACCAGTCTCAGTACTTTCTCTTTTGGGGGCTCACAGTCACGAAGGGAGCAGTGAGGGGGGCAGGGTAACCGCAGAAGGAATCTGCTTCCATTGGCTCCACCCTCTAAAACGGAAGCAGTTCTATTTATCTTCCATTTATCTCCCCAAGTAGAAGAGCCGGTCAACAACTCATCCTCAGATCCCCGAAGAGATTTTGTGCTGAGCAAACCACAAACATCATCTACTCTATGAGACACTGGGTGTCCAGATTATGACTTTTTAATTCTTCATTTCCCAATTCACGCTTTTGGCTATTTCACTCTCTGTGAACATCTGCTCCAGGAGAGAGCAGAGGGAAAGCGGGGGAAAAATTGCCTGCAATGTCTGGCATCACCAACAGAATTTTAGAGACTGCTAGAGTGACCTCCCAGTAATGGCCCAGCATCCCAGTCACTGAACTGTTTTTCTACTACTGTCGCTTCTACGACCTTGAGGCTGCAGGCAGATCCTGCAGGGCTTAGAGCAGCATAAAACCCCTGTGACCATCCTACCTTTCGACAAGTTCAGAGCGTAGGGGAGCGTTCTCATCAACACGCCCACCAACACCCTGCTTGGTACAGTCCTCCGTGTCCCCGCCACCGGGGCCTCTCCCTGAAGGTGGTGAGCTTCCCTAGGCCTCCTAGCTAGCTTGTCATGGGGGAAACCACCCCCACAGCCCCAGCCTCCTGGATTCTGAGATCATACCAAGCCAGAACTCCTTCCTGGGGTCCCCAAAGCCTTCCACATAGCTCCTCCACCGCTTGAAGAAATCCAGCTGCCCGGTGTTCCGCCTCTGGAAGACCTGAGAAGGGAAATGGACACATCACTCTGACCCTCAAAACAGACACAGGCGCTGGGAGACAAGAGGAGACCAAGAGCCTGCTCATACCCTGCCTTCCTCCAGCCAGCATGCCTTTCTTTTTAGAAAGGATTTTTATTTATATGTCAGTAGATTCACTATATTAATAAGCATTCTTTATATGCACAGTAGTATGCCAGGTAGTAAGATATGTAGAGCAAAAGCAGAGCAGGTTCCTGCACTGAAGAAATGTCAGTTCTTTCCATGATTTGTATGATTCAGTTGCTAGTGTGGGTTGTCTAGGGCAAGACATTCTAGACTAGACCTCACCAGCTCTCACATGTAACTTTCGACTTCCATTCAACTCAGCTGGGGCACATCATGTTTATGCCATCTTTTCCCCGCTCTTCTCAAATAGTTTGAGAGTAGGAATTCTTGTTTAATTCACCTGATTCTTAACATAGCAATTATCTCATACTCATGGAGAAAAAAGTTCACACAAATATTTACCAAGCATCTACTACGTACTAGGCAATATGCAAGATAGTGTGCAAAGTGAATAAATCAGAAATGGTCCCTGCCCTCCTGGAGCTAATAGTTCAGTACATAAAATTACTAAATTAAATAATTTTTAAAATGCAGTTAAAACTGGGATAAGGGCTATGAGGGAAAGATGAAACAGAACTGCAAGAGCATAGAACAGGAGGACCTGACCGAGGAGCCAAGAAAGTACCCCCAGGACACGGCCGAGCCGCAGGATGAGTAGGGGTAGTCAGGCAAGAGTGTGGGAGCCAATGTTGGAGCCGCTGGGGGCTGAGGAAGGAATGGAAAGTGAGCTGGGATGATGGCAAGCGTCAATCCTGGTGAGCCTTTAAAAGGGGTTGTTGAAGACACTGGCCCAGGTAAGAGCGATGGAAATTACTGCGGTGATTTAAGCAGGAAATGAGATCTGATCAGATTCCTCTGTATCGGTCGTGTATGGAAAGGACTGGCCAGGGGCAAGAGTGGAAATGAGATGACCAATTAGGAGACCACTGCAGGGTACAGATGGAGGAGGACAGTCACTTGGATGAGGGCTGCCCTGAGGACAGACAGAAGCAGACAGAAGGTAAAGTTGACAGGCGTGGTGACAGAATGTGGAACTGAAAGAAGAAGTCGAGGTAAGATCAGTTTCTTACGGTTTGGCTTGCAGATGCCTCTTCCCTCAGCTCTTCACTGAGACGGGGGATTCAGAGAGGACAGGTTTTATGAGTGGGCCATGAGCTCATTTAGGGATGTGTTAAGTGTGAGTTATCTCTGAGCTACGCTGGTGAATGAAGATACCACCGAGCAATTGGCTGTGAGGACTGGAGTTCTAAAGAGAGGTCTAGGCTAGACTTACTAAGGTAGGCGTGTGTCTTGGGCAATGCTAGGAGTTCACCGAGTCCCAGTTCACTTTCTTCTTCCAGGAACACAGGAGGATGTCCTTTCAGCCTCCCTTGCATTTAAGTTGGAGCCATGTGACTATTTGCAGCCAAAAGGCTGTAGGTGGGAGCACAAGAGAGTGGGTGGGTTCTCCACACTCTCTCCTCTACTGCTGTGCGCCACAGTGCCATGGGAAAGGCCGCACACTGAAACAGCAGAACCACAAGACGGAAACTGCCTGAATCCCTGAGCCACACTTATAACTGGCTGTCAAGCCTACAGAACACATTGTGCACATGAGAAAAACACATTGCGTTTGTTCAAACGCAAGTTGGTTTGTTACTGCAGGATAGTCCATTCTTCCCTAATTAGTACAGAGAGGCATGGGACCCAGAGGGTAAAATGAAGTCATGGGGAAAAGATGAGACCATATAGGAAGAAAATGGGAACTGAAAAGATAAAATGCCCTAGAATCAAGCCTTGAGGACATCCAATATGTATAATGAAGAAGGATGACTCCATTAAGGAGAGAGAAGGAGCAAGAGAAGCAGATAAAAAGAAACTAGAAAAATATGGAACCATGGGCCAGGTGCAGTGGCTCATACCTGTAACCTCAGCCCTTGGGGAGGCCGAGGTGGGCAAATCACAAGGTCAGAAGTTTGAGACCAGCCTGGCCAACATGATGAAATCCCGTCTCTACTAAAAACACAAAAATTACCCGGGTGTGGTGGTGGGCACCTGTAATCCCAGCTACTCAGGAGGCCGAGGTAGGAGAATCAGGAGTATAGTAGCTTGCTTGAGGGCTTCCCTGAGGACAGATGGAAGCAGGCAGAAGGTAAAGTTGACAGAGGTGGAGCACATGAGGAAAAAAATACTGTGTCTGTTCAATCTCTGGAATTTGGAGTTGGTTTTTTACCGCAGCATGGTCAATTTCATCCTAATGAGTAGGGAGAGGCGTGGGACCCAGAGGGTTTCAATCAACAGCTTGAAATCAGAGGGTGCAGTGAGCCGAGATCGCACCACCGCACTCCAGCCTGGGCAAAACAGCAAAACTCTCCAAAAAAAAAAAAAAAAAAAAAAAGAAATGAAAACTATGGAATCACAAAAGCCACAAGGAGAAAAGTGTGGTCAGTAGTGTCAAGTACTGATGAGAGGTTAGGAACAGGAGGCCAAAACCGTCCCTAGCATTTAGCGGCACAGAAATCACTGCTGATTTTAGCGAGGGCTATGTCAATGTGAGATATGGACAGAAGTCAAACTGGAATGGGTCAAAGAGTGAGTGAGAAGCAGGAAAACAGAGGCAGAGCTAGGTGCTATCCACCAAAGTGTGGACCGCTTTCTTTTCAAAAATTCCTCTGTTTGGAGAAGGAAGGGAGTTCCAGTCACAGTAAATTGGATTGTTTTATAGGAAGCAAAACTGAAAAGTACCTACACACACTTGGAATTGATAAGACATCTAATTCCACATGACCTTGACAGCCATAGTAGGCACTCAATAAATATTTGTGCAATAAGTCATGGCTATTCCAGGGCAGACAGACTGACAGATCTCTTTCTAAACGTTGCCCCAGACAAACGCTTCCTTCTCTGTGGGAGCTTGGCTCACAGAAAGGCCATACTTACCAGTACAGACCTCCTGCCAAAGGTCATTTACAGGCATAAAGGCAGGAAATTGGGCTGCAGGCCTGAAGGGACAGAAGGTTTAGCCTTACAGTGGTACTGACGAAAAGCAGCAGGTACAGTCCTTTGGACCTGGTCAGGTAGAAGACCTCCCATGTTATATTCTGTTCTGTTGTTTTTATAAATCAATTGGGAATTTCCCCCAGCCAACCCAATTACTGCCTTTCTAGTCGTCAGATGCCACTGTGCAGATAATAAGTTTTCTTCATTGCTGCTTATCAGATGGTATCTTTTTATTCATGGCTGCTCAAGTGTCTTTGGTTTCCCAGGTCCCTGAGTGAATGTGTAAATGAATACAGTTGAGCACCATGAGATCATGCTTTCTCTTTCCCACGGTGAGTTGCAGAAGCACAGCAGGCTAAGGCTGCATGCTGGCTTGGGGCAGTCAGAGTCTTTATCATTCAGGCACAGGGAGAAAAGGGGCAAAGGGAGATGGAAGGATCAGATTGCAACCCTCAAAAGCAGCTTATCATATAATTGGATCAGGCTGATGCAATCAAAGAAGCTGCCATGTGGTTTAGGCAGACAATGGCCCAAGAGAATAAAACATCTACATAGACAAGGGACAATCAGAGCACTATCTGAGTTTCCCTCTCTCCGGCTTTCGTCTTTCCAAGCAAAGCCTCAAAGGCCTTGTTTCTGTACTGTGTGGCCAGAGTAGAGAACTAGGACACTGGGCTCCAATTCAGAGGCCTGAGCTCCCCAGACAGGTTGCGCATATGTATCTTGGATGACCTGAGATGAACTCATTGAGAAAACCAATGAGTCAGGAGGCTGCAGTCTTGAAATCTGGCATTTTTTCTGGGAGAGTGGGCCTCACTATCCCTATCTGTAAAATAGGAAAAGCAATCCTCTCTCACTTACTCTAAAGCTGTTGTGTGAGGGTCATGTGTGCAAAAGTGCTTTGAAGAAGGTAAAATATAGGTAACACATACATATAGGGCATGACTAGATGATGATCAACCCACCGGCCTTCCTAGTCATCAGCCTTAGTCTAACCAGGCCTATTCTAGGACAGGGGTGAGGTACTAGACTCTCTCCTTACAGGGGGTTGGTGCCAGAGGTATTCGAACCAGAGCGACTCCATCTTGAGTGAGTGCTAAGAAAATAAGGCTAAGACTTGCTGGGCTGCATTCCCAGAAAGTTAGGTATTCCTAGCCTCCAGATGTTTATGGTTAAGGGAACAGATTGACAGTGTTTACTAAACAGACCCAGACTTAGGAATGTCCTGATATCCTGATATCTTGAGAACAGAGCATTCCTAATTTTGCTTTAAAGATTGCATAATATTGATTCTTACAAAATATAATAATTAAGAAAATTAACCCTTTATCACAAACCCCTGTAACAGAGCACATCCCCTCATGATCTTTTTTTATCCTGTATACAAACAGGTATTGTACCTACGGCGCATGTGTTTCTTACTTTCAGAAACACCCCACCCTGTCTATGGAGTGGCTGTACTTTCACCACTTGACTTTCTTAATAAACTTGCTTTTGCTTGCACTGTGGAGTCACCCTGAATTCTTTCTTGCACGAGATCCAGGAACCTTCTCTTGGGATCTGAATGGGGACCCATTTCCTGTAACATCAGGATCTCTCTAAAAACAGCTACAAGCCACCAAAACTCCTCTCTTCCCAGGGTGGGGAAGAAACAGGGCTCCAAGCACTCTCGGAAGCATCCATGACCGGCGTCCTGGCCTGAGAAACAAGGCCCTACACAGAGCTCCCTGGGGTTCCGTGTGACTCACAATCCAGCCACCTCCGTCCGTGTGCATGTCACAGTACACCTGCAGGGGCCGGCTGGCATCGCCGTGCAGGTAGATGGTGTACAGGCCGCTGGCAGCATTGTGGTTCAGCTGAACCTGACTGCAGTCCGAAGGGTGTGGGAAGCGCGCACCAACTGGGAGCCAAGCAGAGAGAGCGCTGTTAGAAGTAGGGCAAGGAAGAACGAGGTGGAGTTGCTCCCTATTTTAAGGCCGTTTATTTTGTTTGGAAATTATTGCATAACTTCCTACTTTTGCTTCTTCCCACTCTTCACTCATATCTTATTTTTCTCTCTCTGCTCTCATCAATTCCCCAAATGTACCAGAAAAAAGGTCAAGTTCACATCACTTCCTCCCCCAGTTCAGCTCCTCCACAAAATAACACTCTATCTCACTCCTCTCTTTAGTCTCCTCACTGTGGGGTGGATTTCTTTTCAACATATAACCCCATTTCCACTTCCCCATGCCTAGAGAAATCAATAGTTCTGTATCCACTTGCTCCTCCCTGGGATCTTTTGCTAGCCCCTCCAATGCTGGCTCTCACTGCATAGTCGTTCAGAATACAGGATTCCATCCTACCTGTGGAGAGGGTGGTGGATACATTTCTGCTCCGGCGATCACCCTTAAAGGCAACTAGGGAGACAGGGTAGGTAGCGCCCTGCTCAAGGCCTTGCAACTCAAACCTCTGGTCTTCTCGTCCCAGCTGCATCTCCTACCAAACAAGAGAGAAAGTACACAGCCAGTGACTCAGTTTATCACCCACTAGCACCCTAGGTGTCAACATCATTCCCTCGTGCTAATGACAGAAACTCTCTGACAGCACAGTGTTTCGTGTCTCCGAAGCCTCAGTGGCAGCCCAGAATCACAGTGAGTCCCAGCTACTTCTCCGGAGAGCCATGCCATGGAGAGTCAGCACTACTGGGAGCATCAGCTGAGAGCCGGCACCCAGCACTGCAGCTTCAGGATCACCGGCCAAGTTTCTGGGAGACTTTGGCCTTCAGGTACACACGAGGGCTCTAACTATAGCCACGGCTGGCAGCAACAGGCTGGCAATGCCGGGCTAAGGAGGTATTAACAGGGGAGGTAAAGCTGGCCACTGATATCTGTGAGACAAGAAGACAGTTGGTATTCCAATAAACTTCCTTCTGAACCAGTCTTACTTCCTCTATAAACGTAGGGCTAACCTTCCTAGCAGTGCTGTCATAAGCACTAATTAAGATGGCAAATGAGCCTAAGTGTCCTTCCTGTTTTTCCTTCCTCCCTTCTTTCCTCCTTTGCAAGGAGAGAGAATAATAATTTTCCAATGGGACGGGTTTTGAAAATTTGCTGGCCTTCAGATTCTAAGGGGAGGTGTAACCCTTGAAATGAGGGTTAATGAATTCATTCAATAAATATGTGTTGAACATCTACCACGTGCTAAGCACTGTCCTATGCACTTTAGATACAGTGATAAATGAAACAGACAAACATAGAGCTTACATTTTTTTGGGAAGACTAACAATAAACAAAATAACCCAGGAAGATGTACAGCCAGCAATATGATCAACAAAGATTAGCAGGTGGCCCTGAGGCCAGCAAATGAGCTGACTGGCCTGAGTTAGTTGCTTCGCACACACAAGAGAAGGCACCAGGAGAAAAGACAAGGAATCTCCCATACCTTAACCGTGCCGTCTGGGAACTGGTAGGTCAGAATGTAGCCATGAATCTGAGCAGAGGGGGGTGTCCAGGTCAATACGCCACCAGACTGCGTCACAGCAGATGGACGAAGGTTTCTGGGAGGGTCGAGTTCTGTATGTAGAAAGTCAGGTAAATGTTATTACTGAGGCAAGGTCATTTTTGAGATATCAGTTTATATTTTCCCCTTCCATAACCTCCCGTTTCTCTTCCTCCTTTCAAGCAGGTTGCAGGCTCTGTTCTTCCCTTTCTGACCTTTGTTTCTAAAAGCACAGACCCATTAGAGACAAGAAGAAAGGGTGTTAGGTGGGTCCCAGAGGAAGGGAATCTGGGCCCCCATTTCCCAGGCAGGTTCCCACAAAGTGGTGGATATGAGCAGTCTAGATGGGCAGATAGATCCTCAGAGATGGAGGGCTTCCAAAGGGATGTGGAAAGATGGGAGGGCCGCAGATCTGAAAGGACCCTGCACAGAGAAACCAGGGTGACTTGCCTGCCTGGAAAGTTACCTGAAATGCCAGACAGGTCCCGATATCTGTCACTGGGAAACTACCCAAGATTCACATACAGCCCTGAGGAAGCAGCTCACCCTAAGTAGAATAGGGGCTTATGATTGACATTAAGTTGGTATAAAAACAAAAAGCTGTGTTTCTCACAGATGAAGCATGTGGCCTCAGATGCACACCCGGAGAAGGGGAGGGAACTGGTGCTTGTATAGACGAGAGAAAGAAAGAAAGACAGAAGGAGGAAGAGAGGGAGGGAGGGAAGAGGGAAAGGGAAGGAATATAGGAAAAGCAGGGCTTTCTTTTATGTACTTCCGCACCCAAACACCAGAGGGAACGCGTGGGTAAGTGAGTGTGCACTGTAGACCAGAAAAACCGAGGCTCAGCAAAAATTCTAGTCAACATCATAACTGGTCAGAAGGCTCTTTTTTTTTTTTTTTTTTTTTTTAAACCAAAGAAGATATGAATGGAAGTTTCTTTTTTGAAAAAGCATTATCACAGAATGTTATTTTAATTTAGAAGTTCCCAAAAAGACATCTCCGGGCTATTTTCTACCCAGTAGCATTTCGGCTGAGAACTGAATTGCAGTATTTTAATAGAAATCAGACAGCTGTTGTTTTGAATTAGGATGTTTTGACAAATTTTGAGTTTCTGTAATATCAACTTGGTTTGATTTTCTGCAGCATAACATCTGGCATGGATTTTATTCTATCCATCTCACAGAAAAACTGAATTTCCTGCTTTCACAATCAAGGCAAAACTGTGGCTATGCAAATGTCTTAAGCAACGTCCTGCCACCTCTTTGACTGCCCACCACCCCCTGGTTACAGACTTGAGATGTCTGTCTTAGCTACTTCACATTCCTATGAAGCAAGAAGATGAGAGTCTCTTTAGTGCTGTCTTCAAAATGGGAAAGGTGAAACCAAGAGAAGGTAAAGAAGGAAGAAGAGAAGAAAGAAATAAGGGAGAAAGGAAGGGGAAAAGGAGGTAGGAAGTGGGAAAGAGGGAAAGGAGATGCTGGGTCCTGGTTGCGTCCGGAGAGAAACACTGTATACTAGGGAGTCCGTGACAGGGAGAGGAGTGTGTGTGTGTGTTTTGTTTTTGTTCTTTGTTTTTTTGAGATGGAGTCTCCCTCTGTTGCCCAGGCTGGAGTGCAATGGCACAGTCTTGGCTCACTGCAACCTCTTCCTCCTGGGTTCAAGTGATTCTCCTGTCTCAGCTTCCCGAGTAGCTGGGATTACATGTGCCCGCCACCACGCCCGGCTAATTTTTGTATTTTTAGTAGAGATGGGGTTTCACCATGTTGGCCAGGCTGGTCTCAAACTCCTGACCTCAGGTGATCTGCCGCCTCAGCCTCCCAAAGTACTGGGATTACAGGCATGAGCCACTGCACCCAGCCAGTTTTTTTGTTCGTTTTTTCACATCTCTGTTTAGTTTGAAAATATTTACTATAAGCTGGCCGCTGATATCTGTGAGACAAGAAGACAGTTGGTATTTCAATAAACTTCCTTCTGAACCAGTCTTACTTCCTCTATAAACGTAGGGCTAACCTTCCTAGCAGTGCTGTCATAAGCACTAATTAAGATGGCAAATGAGCCTAAGTGTCCTTCCTGCTTTTCCTTCCTCCCTTCTTTCTTCATTGGCAAGGAGAGAGAATAATAATTCTCTTTTATATTAGTTTTTAGATTAAAAATGTAAGCTAATTTTAACTTAATAATGATAATAATAATTCTATAATAAATAATAATTAATTAAAATTCTCTTTTATATTACTTTTTAGATTAAAAATGCAAGCTAATTTTAACTAATAAAAATTATAGAGAAATTCAAGGCACCTCTGGCTCCCATGGCTACACCTGGTGCCCTCAGCCATGGATGGAATGGACAGACCTTGCCCGTACTGCCTGAACAGGCCCGCAGACCTCAGGGCAGGCAGTGCTCTCTTCCAGGTGCCTCTGGGGCCTGACCTCTGTGAAGCTCTGCCAAGACCAGAGGCCCCATCACACACACAAAATAGGTGTAGTTCAGGCACCTTTCATCATCAACTGAGAATGGAATGGAGAAAGATGCACTCCCATTGCCCCCATTCTGGAAGATGGAAACAGAAAACGCTCCTGCCTCTCTCTTCTCCTAACTGCAGCTGAGGTCGAATCATTTTCTCCATTGAGGGTGCGGAGAGTCTGAGCGCTGGGCCCGGTGGAGGGGTGAGGGAGGTCACCTGTGACACCACCGCTTCCTCTACGCTTCTCATCCTATCTGAACTGTTATGTCAACTTAATTAGCTCAAAGAGGTGAAAAAGGAACCACTTTGAAGAATGCCCACAGGTAAGGCCACACCCCTCCTGCTCTCTTCCCCAGCCCACTGATGGAGGAAGGCTCTCTCCTGGTAAGTGTGAGGGGTTCCCCTGTCCTGGTCCTTCTCAGTACCTGTCTGGGCCTTGGTGTCGGCCTTCTTGCTCTCCTGGTCCCCCTTCTGGGCCCACACGTGCACCGTGTACTCCACGCCCGGCCTCAGGCCCGTCAGGACGGTGCTGCTCTGCTCCTTCCCCACCGGAACCTCTCTGGTCTCTCCGTCAGCAGAGGTGTAGCGCACCACATACTTGTCAATGGGGGCCTGCACCGGGTCCCAGGAGACAGTGGCCATATTCTCTGTCACCCGGTCAGTCACCAGGTTTTTGGGGCTGTCAATTTCTTTTAAAAAAGATTTAGAAAAGGCTGAACTTTAGAACAAAGGAAAGCATCCCATCCCACCACCCCATCACCAGGAGGTATTCATCATGTTATCATTACTAATGGTAGAATTCCACTTAAAACATGAGGCAAAGCCTCCTGGTCTCCATTTCCAAGGAAACAAACCACTGGATCTAAAACTGGAAGGAATCAGATCCTCTCCTAGTTTGTTAATACAAAAATTTTCTGTCCTTGTAATTCTCACCAAAATGACAATAAAACTTCCTGAGCAACAAGATAAGCCACCAAAACCACTTTTATGATCTCCCTGGTATCTAGTTATTTTGTTTCACAGAATTTAAGAGCCGAGAAGTCATATTCTCCAAACTTCCTGACTTATGAAAGGGGAGGAGAATGGAGGCCCAGGGAGATGGTGGGTCTAGGTCAGGTTCCTATTGACTTCTTACGTGGAAGTCAACACTCTTCGCTCTCAACTTTGGGCCTTCTCACTCTCTCAAGGCTTTTGCTGTGGATCTGCCCTCTCTCTCCTGTATCATCAATCTCTTCTCTGTCATCAGTCCCAGACTAGCAAGGTCTGATCCCCCATCCTTCCCCATATCATTCCATTTCTCTGCATTCCTGAACTGACAGACTGTCTCAGGAGAAATGTCTACATACCTTAACTTCATCGCTCACTCTCCAATCGTGTTTGCATCTTTCTATGCCACACAACTAAATCTGCTAGTCTAGGTCACCAACAACATCCATGCTGCCACATCTAATGGATACTTGCTCTTCTCAACTTTACACTACTTCTGGGTGGCAGAGCTGATCCACTCCCTCCTTCTGGAAACGCTTTCATTGCTTGGCTTCTATGACTACATACTCCCTTGATTTTCCTAACTTGCTAGATCTTCTTCAGTCCTTTGTTAGCTACCTTCAAACACTGGAGCACCCAAGGTTCGCTTTCTTTGTTGTTTGTTTTGTTTTGTTTTTCTGAGACAGGGTCTCACTCTGTCACCCAAGCTGGAGAGCAGTGGCACCATCATAGCTCACTGCAGCCTTAACCTCCCAGGCTCAAGCAATCCTCCCGCCTCACCCTCCCGAGTAGCTGGGAATACAGGTGTACACCACCACACCCAGCCAAGTTTTGTATTTTTTTTTTTTTTTTTTTTAGTAAAGACAGGATTTCACCAGGCTGGTCTTGAACTCCTGAGCTCGAGTAATTTACCTACTTCAGCCTTTCAATGTTCTGGGATTACAGGTAAGGGCCACACAACTGTCCCAAAGCTCTCTCTTTTCCTCTCTCTACTGTTCCTCCTAGGTGATGTCATTCATGCCTATGGCTGTAAATACCAACTAGATGCTAATCACTCCACAATATCTATCAATTCTGAGCCCCTGACTAGTTCATACAACTGCATCTCCACCACAGTGCCTGGCCTGTATTGGACACTCAGTAAATAGTTATGTAATCAATAAACAAATCACTCAATTAACCAAGGAATCTCACAAATATCTTGAACTTAAATATTTAAAAGTCTTGATGTTCCTCCCCAATCCCTTCTCAAGAAATGGTGGTCCAGTCTTCCATGTTGCTCAAATAAAAACACAGGCCAGAACTGAGTCCTCATTTTCTTCCAACCCCACATCTATCAACAGGTATTATCATTCACACCTCAAAAATATATTCCAGACACTCCCTCTTCTCTACCCTTTTGCCATCACACCTATCTAGACCACCCCCATCTTGCATCCGACTTTCCTAGCAGCTTCTCTACTAATCTCACCACTTCATTCCTTGTCATTTCCATTTATTCTCCTCACTGTGGCCTGGAAAATGTTTTTTAAATAAACATTGCATACTATCACCCTTCTAGTATTAATAAATATAGCCCACTTTGTCCTCTAAGCACCACAAGGTCCTGGCTGACCTGCCTCTGCTCCTCCTACCTCATCGCAGGCCACTTGCTCTCCCACCCTCTATGCTCCAGCAAAACCAGCCTCTTTTCTTTCTCCAACCCTGCCAGGTACTATTGCAGCTGAGGGCCATTACACATACTTTCCCTCTGCCAGAAATGGCTAGCTTTCCCCAACATCCATTCTCCCCCGTCTTCGATAAGCACACTCACTATCCAACCGATCTCCCTGCAAAGATGAAAGTATTCTACAATCTGCACAGTCCAATACTGTAGTTGTTAGTCACATGTGGCTACTGACCATTTGAAATGTGGCTAATCCAAGTGAGAAAATTTTATTTTAATTATTTTAAATTAGTTAAAATTTAGGCTGGGCATGGTGACCCATGCCTGTAATCCCAGCACTTTGGGAAGCTGAGGCAGGAGGACCACTTGAGCCTAGGAGTTCAACATACTGAGACCCCATCTCTAAAAAAATAAAAAATTAACCAGGAGCGGTGGTATGTACCTGTGGTCCCAGATACTTGGGAAGCTGAGGTGGGAGGATGGCTTGAGCCTGGGAGGTCAAGCCTGCAGTGAACCGCGATCATACCACTGTACTCCAGCCTAACTAACAAAGTAAGACCCTGTCTCTGAAGATAAAATAAAAATAAAAATAGAAATAATTTAAATAGCCACATGTAGCTAGCAGCTGCTGTTGGACAGGACAGCATAACCAAAGTTAAAGCTGGGCACAGGGCCATCCAGCTAAAGATCTCATTTCCTAGTCTTTTTTTGCAGTGAGGTCTGTCTGGGACCTGGCAATGGAAGACGAGAAGAACTGATATATGCAACATCCCAGTCATGCCCTGACCTTCAGCATGCCTCTTCCCACTGGCTACAATGCGGACTGGGTAGCGACCAGGTAAAGGAGGGCAACTTGCTAGGGATGACTAAGCAACAGTCACAGAAGCCTGGGTCTCCTGGATGAGGAGCTACCGTATCAGCCCTTGTCATTCTACAGACAGGAATATGCTCCATTCCTGCTTAAGCAACTGTTATTTGAGTGCTCCTGTATATCCTGTTACTACTCACCCTTCCCATCTACAAGACACCCTTACCCCATCATTCTCTGTGCCTGTTACACCATGTTCATCTCCTTCATAGAACTTAGCACAAGAGTGACCTCTGGTCATCCTCACGACTACACTCCCACCAGCACCATGACAGTTTACAAATTCCATGGCAACAAGTCAGGAAGTTCCCTTATATGGCCTAAAAAGGGGAGGAATGAACAATCCACACCTTGTTTAGCATGTCATCAAGAAATAACCATAAAAATGGACCACCAGCAGTCCTCGGGGCTGCTCTGCCTGTGGCTAGTGGCGATTCTTTTATTCCTTTACTTTCCTAATAAACTTGCTTTCACTTTAACTACTCGTCCTGAACTCTTTCCTGCACCAGATCCAAGAACCCTTCTCTAAGGGTCTGGATCGGGAGTTCTTTCCTGTAACACTTTGTTCTTTCTTTAGGTTAATGAAAGTTTTTTTGACAGCAAACTCTCCTAAATCAGTCTGCAGCCCTGAGGTTACAGACACCAAAAGCAGCTGCATCATTGCTCAGCTGCAACAGATCAACTTGCATTAATTACCCCAGTTTGCCCTTCCCTTCCCTCCTATTACCTGTCTGGGCCTTGGTGTCTGCCTTCTTGCTCTCCTGGTCCCCCTTCTGGGCCCACACGTGCACCGTGTACTCCACGCCCGGCCTCAGGCCCGTCAGGACGGTGCTGCTCTGCTCCTTCCCCACCGGAACCTCCCTGGTCTCTCCGTCAGCAGAGGTGTAGCGCACCACGTACTTGTCAATGGTGGCCTGCACCGGGTCCCAGGAGACAGTGGCCATATTCTCTGTCACCCGGTCAGTGACCAAGTTTTTGGGGCTGTCAATGTCTGAAAAGAAGTGCCGATGAATATCTGCTATGAACAAGTCTCAGAGTGCAGCAACTGGTGGTCGCTTAGCGTAGGGTGAAACCCTTTCATGTTTTGTGGGGTTTCCACCTGTTACTCTCTTGCTTCATTTTTAGCTGTTTCACAGACATCATCTCCTCTGAGATATACCTTGCTCCTCAATAGAAAGCACAATAGACAGGAACCTGAAAATATGGGCTGTCACCTCTACCAAGTGTTTAGCAAAACAAATCTTTTTATTCATCTAGTAACGGTATATCCAGCCCCAACTCTGTATGTGGAATGCTCTAGACAGTGTGCAAAATCCAGAGTTGGAAAAGACATGGTCTCTGCTCACGAGGAACTAACAGTTTTGTGTCTGGCATCTGTCAGTGAAGACCTCCTATTTCATAGTAGAAGATTCTAAAAGCCAATTCCAAAGGTAAGCTCCCAGAGGAGGGCTGCGTCCTATTCTCCTGTGTTCCCAGTGCCCAGTAGGGCGTAGGACACATGGAAAGTGCTCACTGCATATTATTAAATGAATCCGCCAAAAGTAAAACCCTGGTTGAATATCCTCTGGGATATCATAGACTCCCTTGTCATGCTAGTTTGCTGATTAAATCACTGTACAAAATATGGTTAGATATTGCTTCCTCTAAAATAAGAATATAATGCAGGAGTTATCCTTGTCTTCAAAACTCTGCCTCACGCACACTCTGCTATTCCAAAGAGAGGCATGTGCTCCTTTCTTGTGTAGGCACCCACTATGTGGGTGTTTTGGTCAGTGTGTATCCCATTACTATTTACCCATCCCATCTGAGAAACATCACCACCTCATTATTCTCTATACCTACACCATGTCATCTCCTTCATAGAACTTATCATAATTTCTAGTTATAAATTTGCTTTATAGTTATAACATGATTTGTCATAAAACAAATGATATACATCTCCTTGCTGTGGCAGATGTGATGTCTACATTCTTAAAGTCAAATTTTCATTATACTATTAACCATATTTGATTTCGATTTTCTGTTCCCACTCACAAACTCACTAAGAGACCCTCGATACTGTTGACAGCGAAAGATCCATGCAGTCAGAAGAGGAGTTGATGGACATGACCGTGCAGTCAGAGCTTGGAGACTTTCCACAAGGAAACTAGTTAAAGGGAAATGAGGGATGGTGCGTGCCATCTGCTATGAAGGGATGCCATCCCGCCCTTCCATTAATCATTGATTTTTGCCAATGTTAGAGAAGGAAAACAAAACTTGTCATCCAATGACTTAGCATAAAAGCTCTTATATTCCCAAAGAACAATGCTCCTTACCTGTCTGGGCTTTGGTGTCGGCCTTCTTGCTCTCCTGGGCCCCCTTCTGGGCCCACACGTGCACCGTGTACTCCACACCTGGTCTCAGGCCCGTCAGGACAGTGCTGCTCTCCTCCTTCTCCACTGGAACTTCCCTGGTCTCTCCATCCTCAGCAGAGGTGTAGCGCACCACATACCTGTCAATGGTGGCCTGCACTGGGTCCCAGGAGACAATGGCCATATTCTCTGTCACCCGGTCGGTCACCAGGTTTTGGGGGCTGTCAATGTCTGAAAAAAAAATGCTGATCAATAAACACTATTAACAGGTACCAAAGAGTGAGATCTTCTGGGCATTTTACTTGTGGTGAGGTGGTTTCCTGTCCTTACGGTTTCTCCATATCATATGTTGGTTTCTAGTTGTTTCATGGATATAGCTCCCCACAGCTGGATTCTTGGATTTTCAACAAGGCAGCACAAGAGAGTGGTATGAGTTCTAAATTCAAAATCAGAAGAGCTGGGTTCTAGTCCCAGCCCAGAGAGGCAGAGCAGAGGTGCAGGATGGAGCCAGGTTACCAGCAATCTGATCCTAGCTCTGCCACCTGCTAGCTGTGGCCCTGGACAACTCAGCTGCCCCTGGCTGGGCCTCAGCTTCTTCATCTGTAAAATCTGAGGTTTGGGTTAGATGGATTTTTAAGATTCTTTCGAGCATGAATATTCTATGCATGTATCTAATTTCATAAATGACTAACTTGTTTTTGTGACATTGGGCAAGTTGCTTTGCTTTACTTCTATATTTGTAAAATGGGGTTGTTAATGATTATTGCACTTATCTCTCAGTAGCTCTGTAAACCAAGAGAAAACAATGTCATGTAGAAAAGGGGCTTTGAAAATGTTAAACGATTACAGAGTTTACCACTCTGAAGCCACAGAATATTCACTCTGTAATTTAAAATGTAATCAAGGGCAAACCTACCTCTCTGCCTCAATTTTCTCCATAAGAAAAAAAAAGTCAGGAGAAAATAATATTACTACATATTCTACAGAGTTATTTTGAGTATTCTATCAGTTAATAACATGTTCCCTAGTGTGACATCAGCAAGATGGCCACTTAGAATCCTTTCACACTCATCTTCTGCACAAAAACAACTAAAACAAAGAATAAACAAACACATTTAAAAAAAAAAACAAGTAAAGGAGAGTGCAGGATTATGTCAAAGGAGAAACAGAAACCCTGGTGAGCACAGAAACTCAGGATAGCCGCATAGAGAACAGAAGGAAACACTGGGACCCCACCACCCTATTGCCCAGCTAAGATCAGCTGGAAGCCAGGAAGAACTTCTCCTAACGGCAAAAGGTAAGCAAGAAGATCCCAGCAGCCCACATCAGCACCTTGTACATCTACCGTCCTCACCATTGGGATCTTCTACAGCTCTCACAGGCACTAAGCCCAGCTAAGGGAGCTGCCTACAGGCACACAACTGTTCTCCCCCAGAGATGAAGCCAACACTGTGTCCTACCCACTGTGGCCTGCATGGCAATTGTGCTACGCCATCTTAGAAGTGGACCTACTGTTGGCATGTGTCTTGGTCTGGGAGTGAGTAGCCATTCACCCCTGAGCTACTTGCTGCTGCTGCACCGGGCCTCACAGAGACTGGGATACTGCCTTCATCCCTGAGGGTAAACTGCTACTGAGACACCAGCACCCAGTGTCCTGACATCTCCAAGTGGAGCTGTGAGCAACTGTTACACCTTTCCCCATGGGTCCAAGCAGCCATGGAACCACTCCATGTCCCCCTTCCCTACCCACTCAGATCAGAGCTGAGGCTGCACACTCTTTTCTGGAGAATCAGTACTTTGGTAAAAGAGCTTCATTCCCTTCTCTCACGGTAGGCAGCACCCTACCTGTAGGGATCTGAGCTGAAATTGCACTGGTTTCAGATCCTAAGTGAACAATGATTTTGACAGAGTCCTATATTCCAGGAAAATGGTGTTGAGGCCATCCGGAATAGTCGTATCCCTCAGAACTGAGCTGGAATAGCACATTGCTCACTGGGGAATCAGCGGCTCAGCCAAGCTGAGCAGCTGCACATCCTAGGGCTCTGCTGACACAGTACCCTAGGTCCCAGGGAAATACAGCAGTGGCTGGCTGAGACACCCAACCCTAGTATTCTGCATCCCTAGAGCTGGACTAGGCCCCTTGAGTCTGAGCCCCTGAGACAATCCTCTCCTAGAGAGTAGAGTCACTGCCGTGTTGCTCCTTGCCCTGCTCGATCCCAAAAAAACAGTGTGCCTGATTATTTTGGGGTACTTGCTGCTACTGCACCTGGTCTCACAGAGACTGGGATACTTCCAAGTCCCACCATTGTAGAGTCTAGAATCACCACTACACAATTCCTCACCCTAGGGATCCAAGTTGCCACTGAGCTCTATTGGTGCAGGCTCCCAAATTACAGTAATTACAGCCATACCCTGCACCATGAGCTCAAACTTCCAGAGCACTTCTTCCTCCAAGTTAAACCAGGGCTATGCCCTGCCCACCAGGGGTAGAATTACAGTTACAACCTGACCTCCTGAAGCCAAGTTGCTCAACAGTATGACAACCTATATTCAGCCCTGACACAGAGATCATTCTGCATCCCAAGACTCAAGTACCACTATAGGTTCACAAGACCCTAAGCCTAAGTAAGAGTTTGCCCCACAGTTGCTTTGAGCACCTGTACTTGAAACCCAGTGCCATGGCACCTGCTTCCAAGTCATGTCATACCTGACACCAAGAGGGATTCCTTCAGCTAAGCCTTCCCATTGTGGAGAAAATGAGAATAGAATAGCCCTTGCTGTAATAGCCCTTGCCACCAAGGACATTAACAACCTATGCTGCCATCACCACTACCACAAACTTCTATAGTCTATGCCACTGATATGCCCATAGTTATTGCTGATGTCAAACACAGCCAAAGAAGCTGCCCAGAGAATATACCACTGGACCTACATGAATCACCCTTCCCAACTGGCACATTAAAATTCAACCACGGTAAAAGTATTTCTCTAAGAAATCCACTTTAGAAAGTTTGGAAGAGGCAATCGTTCCACCAGATGCACAGACCTCAATGCAGGGACACAGGGAACATGAAAAAAGCAAGAAAATATGATATCATCAAAGGAACATAATAACTCTCCAGGAACAGACCCCAATTAAAAAGAAATCAATACATTGCCAGAAAAGGAATTCAAAATAATGATCTTAAGGAAACTTAATGAAATTCAAAAAATAGAGATAGACAATTTGATGCAACCAGAAAAATAATACATGACATGAATGAGAAATTCAATGATGAGATAGATATCATAAAAAAGAAACACAGCTAACAAATCCAAGAATGAAATAAAAAAAAGTAATAAATAGCTTTAACAGCAGACTTGATCTAGCAGAAAAAAAGAATTTCTGAACTTGAAGATAGGTTGTTTGACATTACCCAGTAAGAGAAAAATAAATAAAAATTAAAAAGAGCAAAGAAAGCCTACAAAACCTATGGGATACTATTAAGTGAATAAATATTCATATTATAGGAGTTCCTGAAAAAAAGTGATATAAAAAGGTATACAAAGCCTACTCAATGAAATAATAGCTGAAAACGTCCCAAGTCTGGGGAGAGAGATGAATATTGCTCACTGCAACCTCTATCTCCCAGATTCAAGTGATTTTCCTGCCTCTGCCTCCCCAGTTGCTGGGGTTACAGGCATGTACCACTAGGCCCAGCTAAATTTTGGGAGTTTTGTTTTTTTTTTTCAGACAGAGTTTCACTCTTTTTGCCCAGGTTGGAGTGCAATGGTGCAATCTTGGCTCACTGCAACATCCACCTTCCAGGTTCAAGCAATCCTCCTGCCTCAGCCTCCTGAGTAGCTGGGATTACAGGCACCCACCAACACGCCCAGATAAGTTTTGTATTTTTAGTAGAGATGGAGTTTCAACATGTTGGCCACGCTGGCCTTGAACTCCTGACCTCAGGTGATCTGCCTGCCTCAACCTCCCAAAGTGGGATTACAAGCATGAGCCTAGAAAAAATAATTCTAAAATTCATGTGGAACCACAGAAGACCCCAAATAGCCAAAGCAATACTGAGCAAAAATAACAAAGCTAGAGGCTGACTTTAATATGTACTACAAAGCTACAGTAACCAAAACAGCATGATAGTGACATAAAAACAGACACATAGACCAATGGAACAGAATAAAGAACCCAGAACTAAATCCACATATTTACAGCCAACTGATTTTTGACAAGGCAGCAAGAACATCCAGTGGGGACAGAACAGTCTCTTCAATAAACGGTTCCAGAAAAACTGAATATCCATATGCAGAAGAATAAAACTAGACCTCTATCTCCCATCTTATTCAAAAATTAAATTTAAATGAATTAAAGAATTAAATGTAAGACCTGAAACTATGAAATTACAGAAGAAAACATTGGGGAAACACTTTAGAACATTGACCTAGGCAAAGATATTTTTGGGTAAGACCTCAAAAGCACAGGCAACAAAAGCAAAAATAGACAAATGGAAATATATCAAGCTAAAGAGTTTCTGCACAGCAAAGGAAATATTAGACAGAATGAAGAGACAACCTACCTAATGGGAGAAACTATTTGCAAACTGTCTATTGATAAAGTATTAATAAACAGAATACATAGGGAGTTCAAACAACTCAATAGCAAAATAATAACAATCATCTTATTTTAAAATGGGCAAATAATCTAAATAGACATTTCTCAAAAGAAGACATGCAAATGGCCAACAAACATTTATGAAAAAATGTTCGACATCAGTAATCACCAGGGAAATGCAAATCAAAAGCACAGTGAGGTATCATCTCATCCCAGTTAAAATTGCTATTATCAAAAAGACAAATAGTAACAGGTACTGGTGAGAATGTGGAGAAAGAGAAATACTAGTACACTCCTGGTGGGAATGACAATTAGTACAGCCACTATGAATAAAAGCATGGAGGTTCCTCAAAGAACTAAAAGTAGATGTACCATATGATCCACCAATCTCATTGCTGAGTACACATCCAAAAAAAAAAAAAAAGGAAATCAGTATATCAAAGAGATATCTGCATGCCCATGTTTACTGCAGTACTATTCACAATAGCCAAAATACTGAATTAACCTAACTGTCCACTAGTGAATGAATAGACAAAGAAAATGTGATATATATATCACATTTTATACATGTGATATTTAAAAATGTGATATACACACACACACACACACACACACACAAATTCAATACTATTCAGCCATAAAAAGGAATAAAATCCCTTCCTTTGCAGCAACACGGATTGAACTGGGTTATTATGTTAAGTGAAATAAGCCAGGCACAGAAAGACAAATATTGCACGTTCTTACTCGCAAGTGGGAGCTAAAAAAATTGATCTCATGGAAGTTGAGAGTAAAATGATAGCTACCAGAGGCTGGGAAGAACAGGGGAATGAACACAAGTTGGCTTAAGGGTCCAAAATACAGTTAGATAGAAGAAATATGTTCTAGTGTTTGATAGTACAGTAGGATGACTACAGTTAACAATCCTTTATTGTACATTTCAAAATAGCTAGAAGAGAAGATTTGACATGTTCCTAACACAAAGAAATGCCAAATGTTTGAGGTGATGGATATCCTGATTACCCTGATTTGATCATCACACATTGCATTCATGTATTAAAATATCACATGTACCTATAAATATGTATATTATTATGTATCAATTTTTTAAAAAAGAAACAAATGTCTATTATGACAGTTCTTAGCACTAGTAGATGCACAATGACCATAAGCTAACATTATTAATACCAGTTTGTTAATATGTTATAAATACAAGAAATTATGCTCCGCCATACCACACACACAGAAGATACTTAAAAATACATTCACACACACACACACACACAAAATAGTAGCATTGCTTTGTTCTAAATAATTCATTGTAAAAGCCATTTTCCCAAAGTCTTTCTCATACATCCTATTACACATGTTGGTTTAGGCTGTAACTCCAAGAAAATGGGTATCTACATTCCAACCTGAGGGACCACAGTTAAGGCAAGATCAACAACAGTTTTGTGACCCTTGGCTGACCAATCATCTTCACCCTATAAAAGTGGTTGGAGAGGCCAATGAGGTGGGACTTTAAGAAGGGATTTATTTGGAAAAACATACACTGTGAGTCCCATGAGTGAGGCCCAACTGTTTGAATAAGCAGTTTTCAATGGAATCCCTTATGTTCTTTGTTTTGTATACCCTAGAGCAGCAATTCTCAACCAGGGACAATCAACAATGTCTAGAGACACTCTGGTTGTCACAACTCAGTGTGGGATGGGGGAGACATCAGGGATGCTGCTAAACATCTTACAATGCACAAGACGGACCCCTGCAACAGATAATTATCCAGCCTAAATAGCAACAGTGCCAAGGGTGAGAAACCCTGCCCAAAGCTTGAGGAACACTATGGGCTGGTGTCTGACATATGCTTAAAATATCTAAGAGGTAAGAAAATGGTTGCTCTGACACAGAGCAAAGAGAGGCTGTAGCATTGCAAAAGAGCTGCACATCCGGTTGAATGGACAAAGGATGCATGCAGGTTCTCCATGGACCAGACTTGGGCCCAGCACACCAGGGTAGGCCTGGGGTTGCATTAGAGTGTGGCATTAGAAGCTGTCCAAGAGGACCACCTAGAGGGGCAAGGCGACCCCACCAGAGGTGCTGGGGAAACCCCTGATGTATTGGCAGAGGAAGGGGAGTAGGAGACCAGTGGAAGACAGGCATTTCCCTACAGTGAGACCCACAGTGGAAGAGGACAAAAGTGCTTCATGACAGCCGGCTTCAGCACTCATCAGGCTCCAGGGCAGGCCCAAACACCTGTTATGTAGTCAAGCATGACCTTCCACCATCCTGGCCTCCTTCCTCCTTAACCCATGGCTTGTCTTTTCTCTTGACCCCTCACTTTTCTTCCTCCTTAACCCCTCAGCTTCTCCCCTCCTGACCCCTCACCTTTCCCCTCCTGACTCCTCACCTCTCCCCCTCCTGACCCCTCACCTCTCCCCCTCCTGACCCCTCACCTTTCCCCTCCTGACT